TTTATAATGTGTTTTGTAGCCATGACTGACATGGGGATTTTTGAGGGGCTTGGGGTTGGTTTTTTTCTTCCCCTCAAGAGGTTTCAATATAGAGATCAAAAACTGCTGGCAATGTAAATCAAAAAATTACAAACAAACAAAAAAATCCTAAGTCCTCAAAACATCTGATTCTTGCATTTTTGCTTAAACCTACCAGTATCCATCCATATATTGCCAGCTCTGATGTTACTCGAGGTTGACTTTTTTTTTCTGATAGCCTACTTGTCAAAATAACTGTAGAATTTGGAGGCTTTTTGGAAAGTCTAAAAACTTCCTATGCATTTGGAATTCCTACTTTTAAAAAAAAAAGGTAATTTCATTGAACTTCAGTCTTCAGGAAGTAGACTTATCTATAGATTTAACTTGGAATATATATATATATATTTGTAAATGGAGGGGAAAAATGTTTAGAAGAACAGTGCAATTTTATCACCTTGTCTTAATGTACTCCTGTAATGTTGATATGTTATAGTTTTGTCTTGGGTCTCTTTTTGCTTTTTATCTTCTGTGAAGGAAAACTTTGATTTTTAAGAGTGGAGGTACTAGACTAGTGAAAAGGATAATAGGACATGGATTAGACATAAATAAGAGCGATTCAAAGGCAGACTGGAGAGAAGGAGATGGTGTGGAAGGCTCAGGAGAAACAGTGGGTTAACTGCAGAAAGAAGGCAGCCCCTTTTATTGAGGAACTCCTTGTTAAGGCCTGTAGGACATGGTGAGTAAAAAGAACAGAAGAGCTTGTCTGCTGAGAGTAATCCTTTAAGGTCCAGAACTGTTCTCTAAAACGATTTTAGTGGAATTGGAGAAGACTTGTGGGATAAAGTCTTCACAGTGGCAGAACTTACTCTTCAAAGTTTCTGCTGGAGTGGATTGTGTGTTCTATACAACGGAGATAGATACAAAATAAGTCAGTGTAATTCTGGATTATTTTTGTTTAGGAGGAGGCAAGCAAAGACAAGTCAAAATATCATCGATCAGTAGCTACTGTGATAAATGGGATTGAGTATCCAATCTTCAGGAGATGCTTACAGAACAACTCTTCATGAACGATTGATTCCTTTGGGTTTCGTTTTAGAGATAAGGGTTTTGTAACGGGTGAAAGTGACTTATATGAATCTTTCCCAACTTTTCTGCATCATGCTTTTAGTTGAATCTCCATGATTGGGTTTAATCTCCACAAGGCAGAATAAAATTGAGTGAGCGTGACTATAGCAATGCATAAAGAGTCTCGGCAGTTGGGGTGGTCAAAAAGATGACAAATCTTTTGACTAGAGCCTTAGCATGAAGCAAAGGATGTGTTTAAAAAGGAAAAAAGACTATGCATAATCCAACTAGAATATGAAAAAAAAAAATGAGGGAATGATATCATGCATTGTGTAATATGTTGCATTAACACTCCTTTCTTTTTTGTTGGTCTTGATCAAAATAATTTTCAGATGCGATAGTGGGAAGTTCTGCTTGTGTAGTGTTGGATTTGTAGATTCCAAGAAAGGGATTTTGGTGTCGGTGGAGTGTTTTCATGTTGGTGAGAAAGCTGGTGTTACAGAACTTAACTTTTGAGATTATGGAAATAAATGCTTCTAGTGATGGCATGGCCCAGATATTTCAGGAATTGCTAGCCCAGGGATTTAGTCACCAAATTGTTACTGAATCAACAGGAGGTGATACTATTTTAGACTCGGTATGGAAGCATAATTAGGTCTTTGTAGAAGACCTGCTTCTGGAAAATTAACTTATGTTGCGAAATCACAAGTTGATTCATAAATTTTGTGCTAAGATCGTTGTCGTCAGAGGAACTCTTTTGGACAACTCTGGTGTGGTAACATTTTAGAGACAGTTCGAATGATTACGGTGGAGGCCAGGGATTTATTCTGTTAGAACTGCTAAAATTAGGTGATTTTATCCTATGTGATCCTCATTAAAGGAAAATATTTTAGGAAAACACTCCAGATTTAATTGGATGAATAATCACTTCAGTGAAGTTAAATATTAGTTATTACTTTAGGGATGAAGGAAAAAGCAATAATTGGCAAGGTCAAGCTGGGTTGCACCTTGAAAAAGACTATCAGAATAGCATGAAAAAGGTTCTTCAGCTATGTGAATAAAAAAAAAAGCATTTGTTATATGGAAGGCATGGTAGAATTTAAGCATGAACTCAAAATTAAATTAATGTTTACACTGAAACAGTGTAATGCAGCCTGCCGTTTCTCCTCAAGGTTCTGTAAAAAGGAAATAAGGGCATGGAGATAGCTACAACCGTAGTAAAAAAAGCAGTGATCTCAAACAGGGGGACTTGGATCACTGACTCCTGAAAGAAACTGAGTTTAGGAATAGGATGGATGTGTGTTTCGTTTTTACCAAATTTATGGAGTCAGGAAGGACTTGTGAAAAACAGTTAGTGTGGTACTAACTGAAATAGGAATATGAAGGTGAATATCAAGGCTGCTACAACAGCGTGCAGGGCAATGAAGAAAAGTTAAATGCTAGGTAGAGAATAAGCAAGTTGCAGCATGGGTTAACCAGAGATTTTATCATTTAAATTAATTCCTTTTAATACTGATTCAGTCCTCAAGATGGAAAGTTACGGGTTTGCTTGCAAAGAACAAGAACTCCTGCTGTCAACTTGGAGCTTACCAGGTGAAGTTGACAGGAGCTTACTAGTTGGCAGAGGGAGAGAAGGAGAACCTGAATTGACCTTAGAATGACTACATTACCAGAGCAGGTAATTTTAGTGACTTGTTAACTGTGTTGGTTATTTAAACCAATATGCTGCTTTGTGAGCTAGGAGGTAAAGCAGAGGGGCAGTACCACTGAAAGCATAGTGTGCTAGCTGAAGAGGACAAAACCTTCCATAGGAAGCCTTGCTGGGACTCTGTCACTTTGCCTGAACCTCGTGTCACGCTGCCACTGAAGGTGGTAAATTTGGTCTTAAGTTATGCTGGTTGTGATGTATTTTCAGTGAGTGCAACTGAGTGCTCATGGCACAGATTCTGAGACTCCATTTAACTTCATTTATGCAGGGCTAGTCAGGCGATCATGGGACATAGAGTGGAGAAAATCTTAAAAAATAAGTATGGCAAGATTAAAATTTTAGCTTGTTTAGAGCAAAATTAATGCTGAAGAGCGTAACTTATATATACCATATATTTTGTGAGTGAAACAAATACTAGAGATATGAAGAAATGCTGAAGCTGGGAAACCATTCTGTCGGCGGGTGTGTGGGGGGCGTAATAGTAACTTTACCTAAATTGTAGCTTAGAAAGCTTTTAACAGTTGCAGTTGCGAGGTTGTAGAATGAGCTGCTGGTTGAAATAGTGAGCAAAAAATCTTAAAAGTAGGGTTGGGAAGCTTGCAAGAGAAATGTGTTGCTTGTGCTTGAGTTTGGATTCAGAGAGGGATTTTCCTGCAGGAAATAAAATAAATTTAAAATATGTTTAAAAATTATTTCATCGGTTCTATTAAGACTTCCTTTGCTGTCTTAGCTAAGGTCATAAAAGACAACTTAAGATCTGATGCTGAGCTTAAAACAAAAAGCTAGTTTATAGATATAAATCAGTAAAACAGAACCATTACTAAATACTGGCTTTTGATTTTGGAGGTGCCTGGCGCGTTCGCACTGGTGAATCTTTGTATTTTGAAATGCAGGACTTCGTCTCAGCTATGCATAGAGTTGTTTACATGGTGAAACTTTTTTTTTATTTAAACTTTGGATTTTTTTTTTTCTATCTGTAAATATCTCTGCTCAGAAGAGCACCCTTCTGGTGGGGGAGACTGAATCTATAGAACCTTTACAAGAAGGAAGTAGAGAACTTCCCAGCTGTTGTTCAGTGAATTCATCGTCCTTAATGGTTCATTCACATCATCGGTAGATCGAAGACACAGTTGATGGCAACCATCAGCTTTATCTGTCTTAACTCTTCTCTCTGACCTGTCAGCAGCCAGGTTTACTCTGAAGGAGAAACGCAGCTGCTCAGGTTTTTTGGCGTAGAACTAGAGTTGGAACAATTTTAAAGGATCTGGGAAGATGATACGAGTTCTTGGAAAAAAAATAGGATTCAGGAAATCTGTGTTGCAGTCAGTGAGCATGGTATACAGAAGTAGCAGAATGGACAAACCCATAATTAAACTTCATGGTATGTCTTTCTAAAAGGAGATTCTGCTTTGCATCTCCCCAAAAAAGTTCCTGGCTGGAGGATTTGTATGAATTTCACTAATGCTGCTCTCTGGACTTAGAAAGCAAATTCAATGGATTGAATACCTCTTGCTAAATGCTTCTGAGAATCAGTTTCTGGAAAACATATGGTTTTTTTCAGTATCAAAATACAGTGTTTTTATTTTGTAGGCAAGTTGATAGGGGGTGTGAAAACGTTGAGGAGGTGACAATGAAATTCAAGTGTATAAATAAATTGTGCCTTACATCTAAATATTAAAGATAAACATGATCTTAAACAAGACTACAGTATTCTGTTTAGATCATCGTATTGTTTAAAAATAGCTAGTGCTCTATTTGGGGAAGCCTTTCTGTATTCCAGTGAAAGTGACAATCATGTCTATTACTAATTAACTTGCTCTAAACAAGAAAAAAAACCCAATGTATAACTTGGTCAAATTGGTTTATAGTTTAAGGTATGTAGACTTAATTGCTGATTTGAAAGATCACGGTCTTTTTAACATGTAATCAACTTAAAAATATAACTTTAGATATTGCTGCGTTGGTTTGCTTATTTTAGTAATAGTAGAAACAATATTGAAACTGTTTAATGCTTCACGAATAGTCTATTTTTAATGAAGTAAAATTCCAACTGGAAGATAGCTATTCACTTTAGGTTACTATATTTTTAAATTTTTATTTATATATTTTCATGAACTACTATTCTAAAAATTTCAAATACCATATTTTTGGGAAAATTTGTATGTCAAATGCTTACTTATGACTCTTTGTTTCTCTGTTTATTTTTAAGACGAGCAAAAATCAAATTAAAGTAGATCTTGTAGATGAGAATTTTACAGAATTAAGAGGAGAAATAGCAGGACCTCCGGACACACCCTATGAAGGCAAGTAATGTTTTTGTGTATGCAATCTTTTACACTTCAAATCATGTGTCTTGAGATGCTTTGTTTGTAAAATTAATTTACAGCATAAACATTTAGAGCTACATGTTTTTAAATAGTCTGATTTTTGAAAATAAAAATTTTAAGCTTGAAAAACATTTCAGTTCAACTTCTGTGTTGCCTGAAGACAAATTTTTTTCCACAGTAGGAAAGACTATTCCATATCAAAGGTTGTTTTACAGATGTTAATCGCATTGTAATTTGGATAATGCTGACTTTATAATGTTTACAGTCTTGAAAGTTTAAGCTCCATAGCCTTGAAGCATCAAGGAACATCTTCAAAATCTAATGTAACTGTACACATTTCTGTGATCTAATGTGCTGTTCATTCAAAACATGTGGCATTTTTTTATCTCAAGTACAGATGCCATTGCAAGTTAAATTTGGGATCAATTTTGGCCATCCATGGGTCCCAATACTTAATTTATACTGGAGTGGGGGACTCTGCAGTAGAGCTTAATGTCTGTTGCTCTCTTCAAAAATTACGCCTTATTGACTTCCTTGTTTATTAAAGCTGGTGTCAGTAATCATGCATCTCTTCAGTCTGGAAAAAGCAAGATAACTTACTGCATACAGAAGCTTTAACAGAAGCTAAGATAGCATACTTTGTCAGAGATATCAAATTACTCAATAGTGCTGGTACTTGTAGACTTTGTTTGTGTATAATGTATATGGAGCTGGCAGACACACCTCCTGTTAGAGTTCCTTGGTGATAAATGAGGAATTTATTTATTTAAATTATTTGTTACTTTTAAATGGTGTTTTATTCAAGTTTTCCATACCAGGTATCTACTTTAATTTGAATTTGAACTTCCAGTAAACAAAAATGTCTCAAGGAATGTTACAGGCAAATAAATTGTTTTGTTGGAAATTTAAAGCTGTTTTCCAAGTTTTCAATTCCTTTAGTTGCTCCATGGGTTGGAGCTAAGAGTAGGACTTTGAGTTTTGTGATGTTTGTCGTTGTTTTGAAAAATAAATTCTCATCAAATTGGGAAAATATCTGAAAATTATTGTGTAGGTATAGGTGTATATGCACTGGAAAGCCTTAGTGGCTACTGATGAAAATCTGGTTGATGCATCTTCAAAAGGAGGACATCCCTTGTCATTTGCTTCTCCTGGCTGGGAGCTGCTGGTGCAGCAGCATTGGACTGGGAGAGTCTCCCCAGTGCCCACTCACCTCCCTGCTGGGGCCCAGGACAGATAAAGGACGAGGGAACAGCCCAACAGAGGTTGACATTGGAGAATATTGGGCAAGAGCAGGTGTCAGGATTTAAGGAGAAAGGAAATGAGAGGGTATAAAAGTAAAAGCATCTGTGATGGTAGGGATGTTCCCCTCCAGAAGTTGAGTCGCAGAGTTCCTATACTGTCTAGCAAATAATGATGATTTCCCTCATCCCTTCCTCCATGTCTCGCTATACTCCTCAGCCACTAGTGTGTAGTTGATAGAAGATAGTTTCTGGAAAGAAGATAATTTCTTCTGGTTATAACCTGTGTCTTCAATTTAAAAGGAGAACTACGCTGTGGACGTAAAATGCGTAGTCGTGCTGGTGACCTATTTTGAAGTGGATCATTCTATTTAGTCTGATAGTTGTTTGTTGGTTTGTTGGGTTTTTTTGCAAATATAGTTGGTCTTATAAAACCAAGTCTTACATACTGATGTTAAGATGTTACAAAATTAAGTAATTGCATGGGAGGAAACATCTGAATGGTGTAGGGAGAGTGGTGTTTTAGAGAGGTTTGGTGTTTTGTGGGGGTTTTTTTCCATTCAAACAGAATTCTATCTTCCTCGGGTGAGTTAGTTTGTCACGCTTGTCTTTTTTTATTATTTTTTTCCCCTCCAGACCAGCGTTACCTCGCCATTTTTTTTTCCTCCAGGCCAGCATTATAAAACGGACCTTTTTTTGGAGAATGCACTGAGAGTTATTTGAAATGAAAGATGTATTCATGTGTCACGAAAGTTAAAAACTGTATAGCAGTTCATGAAGAGGGTAAAAAAAGACTTGAATGCCTGTCTGCAGAGCTGGATTCTATGTGGTGTTGGATAATTCAGTTAGACCAAAATTTCAAAAGCTGAACACTGAGTATTCACGTATTCAGCATAATTCTGCTAATAAAAAGTAATACGTGCTTAGTGTGGAATTTGTTGATGTGAAATGCATGTGTACTTACATATGAGTACATTTAATGAAGAGGATATAGTAAATATCCTTTTTGGAGGGCTAAAACTGCTATGAGATCCCTGCCATAATCAGAATACATAATAAAGTAATGTGGTTGTGTGCTTGCTTTAATCTAGAAGGCATATGCACCAAGAAGCAAAATGAAAGTTACCGGCAGCCCAATTTCTGGCGTTTCCTGACACTTAAATAATTTACTTTGGAATGTTAATATTTCTGTAACATAGTTTTATGCAGTTATTCCTTTAGGTAATTATGAAGGGCTGGCCAGTGTGTGTAGTTTACATTTTATGACTAACGCAGTAACGCATGCTGCATAATTACTGACTGACCTCCTGTCATCTATAGTCTGAGCAATGACACAGCAAGAAGTGCTTTATGAAGAAAAGCTAATTAATGTAGTAGTTCAGGTCAGGCAATTCCATGATACAGGAAGGAATTCTAGGACCATTGTGAAGTGAAAGAATATTTATTGTTGACCACAGTTGGTGAGGTATCTGAAAACAAACTGCTGCTGCAGAATTTTCTAGGTGATGTTGGGACGTTGGTTTAAGTGTGACTGAGAGGAAGAATGCCATCTGTTGTTGAAAAATTTTACAACTTTTTTTTTTTCTGTCAGTAGTGTGAACTCATATTGATCAGGTGTCAGAATATTGCAAGACATTACTCCAGTTGAAACACATCTGCATCCCGTGTTAAAACATCCAGGTTTGGGGAGAGGACCTTTGAAAGTCTAGATGAATGGCTCCTGGGTTTTACTTGATTCAAGAGCCTTTCAATACATACGTTGGGTTTTGGTTTTTTGTTTGTTTCTTTCTTTTAACCCCACTGTAACCACGGTGTGCATTTCACGCCAAGTTTGCATGTGAGCCACAGTCACTGCAAAATTTGTAATAGAGTTTTTCTTCAAGGAAAATAGTTGAACCTTGCTCTAACTCTGTTGTGAGACCTATGCTCCAGTAGGAGTCCAGAAGGAAGATTCTGCCATTACTGTTTAATCCAATCTCAAGTATTAAATAGTCATGAAGAAGCCATACATATGTGTGCTCCTTTAAAAAAAAAAAATCCACAGAAATTTTGAAGTGCAGAAGTTCGTATGTTAGTCACTTGCATTTTAAATGTAGTATTAAGGAAATTATTATCCAGGTTTGTGCAGTTTCAGTTTTTAAGCCTGTATTTTTAGCTGTAAACTTCAGTGCATGACAATACTGTATACCAGCTCACTGGTCCCTGCAGTTTTGAGGTGGAAAACAAATGGTGGCTGAATAGCCTGTTACACAGAAGACTGTATTAGTCTGTCTTTTAAAGAAAAGTTTTAATGGTAAGCAGAAGATACGGTTTTACCCGAGGATAAATTTTATATTACCTTACAAAATGGTGTGACAGTAAAATCATACAGAGACTGATGAAGTTTTGCAGTCCAGGAACAGGGTAATTGTTCTGTTTCTATAGGAAAAATTTGCTGCTGAATTACGCTTCAATTCAGACAAAAGGAAAAGCAAACTTACATAAGGGCTGTTGTTGACGTACGTGTCCTCAAAAATAGTTTGCCTGTGCTGTCCTGTAAGCGGACAAGTAGTCAGCATAGAAATTAACTATTATAATTATGGATTTATTAGCTTTTCTTCTATTGTATTTGCTGTTAAATCTTCTCAAATTACTGTAGTATTAAGTGAGGAAAAACCAGTTGTAGATACTAGCATAAAATACCAAACAGTTTCAGGTATAGTGTATGAGACTGAATTACATTTTAAAAGTGAGAGGTGTTACGAGCTGCTAACTGCATTGTGGCACAGATAAAAGGGTGCCATAGACTATAATCGTTCAGAATATTCCTTTGAGTTTTTTCCTTGTACATGAATCTTACTGCCTGTATTGAGAGTATCAGGGAGCTGGTTTTGTATAGAGCGATTTGCAACAGAGTAAATCACTCTTGAAATCCCAAAGAAAATAGGCTGTGGATAATTTAACTGTAATTTAAGGAAATTTATAAATTATAACAAATATTGAGGGAGGGAAAAGGTTTCTTTCTGAAAGAGCAACAGTAGGATGAGAAAAAAATTGCAAGTGAGAAGAAATACTTCAGTTTCTATAAAAACTAAACGTTTAAATTGGTGTATAAGTTTTGTTATACTCTGTTCTAATTGTCACTAAACTGCAGCCTGGCAAATGATCTTCAGTGGGCAGGCAGAGATGGTTTGAGATCGCTCCACAAGACATAAGTATTAGTAGTAAACTTGAATGTTAACAAAACTGTAATTGAAGGAGACACAGGTAATGATACTATAAATGGGAGAGAAAAATGAGAAATGTTTAGAAAAGGGCAATAGAAGGTGGCTCTTTCCGCCAAGCTCAAACTGTCCTTTATTGCATGCTGGAATCCTGCAAACTGTATGAATAGTACTAGCGTGTCAAAGCGTTTGCAGAATTGGAATGGGAGTAACTACTTCAGACAGCAACGTAAAACATAGCGGAAATAATATTGGAGTCTCCTTTTTTTTTTTTTTTTTTCCTTCTCTCCAAAGCATGAGAGCTTTTCTTAAGCAACTTAATCAAACATTCTTCAGTTCCAGAAAGTTTATAATGAAATACACTTAATTTCAGTTGTGTTATTTGAAGAAAATTTATTGGCATGAGGTATCAGAATACAGTCAAAACAATGAAACAATGTAATATCCCATGGTCGGCCTAATATTCCTGTGGCCTATTGTTTCATCTGTTTGAGGTACATTTGGTTTATATTTTGGGATACTTTAGTAAAATAGAGCATGGAAATTACAACATTGGAAACCAGAAACTGTAGGAAGAATGTACACATAAAATATACCTAAGAAATACAGATTCCGATTTGCATAAGCAAATATGACTGTATTAGGTTCACTTAATATATTTTATAAATAAATGCATATAAAATTTACTCAGAAGTATTATCTGAAGATACTTCTAAACTTTAATTACTTGAAAACCTGTCCATATAGAAACATAAGCTTTATTGTCATGAAAGATTAAGCTTGAGTAATGCTCTTTTAATTTCTAATTTGTTCTTGTCTTTTGCAGGTGGAAGGTATCAACTAGAGATAAAAATTCCAGAAACATATCCATTTAATCCTCCTAAGGTACTGTAAACACTTTTTTGGATAAAATAAATAAGGATACTCAAACCCAACTTGTTAGCCAAATTATTTGCTTAGGTGTGTAGTCTCTTTGTAGTACCCATCTTTTTTTTTTTTGTTCTCCTCTAGACAGGCATTGGAGCTGTCATCTTTAGGTAGAGATAATGCAGGATGCAAAGCTGTATCCAATCAGAAGTATACTCTGGTTGTTCCTTAAAGTACAATCTGGCAGATTCTGGGGAGGAACTTGTGCTTTATCATTGATCCTTATGCAATTTCTTTTTGGCAAGATACATACAGTTTTCAGATACTCTCTACATCAAGTAAAACTATGGCTGTTATCCCTCCCCCTCAATATCATGGAAGAAATGCTGTAATAGATAATTACTGATTCTTTTAATTTCATCAGCTCCATACATTATAGTTAGTAGAGTCTTGGATCTAACCTACCAAGTTTCTAGTAGTAATATAATAGTGAGGTGTAGTTGTGTAACTTGAAGAACCAATAGAGAAATGTGACAGACCTACTGCAACTCTATTGAAGGAATGCATAAAATGTCCACATATGAGAGACAAGAGAAATGACTGTGGCAAAGTCACTCCTGCCCTTTCAACTTTACTATATCTTTCTAGATGCAGTATCTAGAAATATCTAAAGTATCTAAACTTTAAATTTGTGACTCTGCTTCCCTCCTAATGGATCAATCTTAACAGTGTTCTCTCCAGCCATGTGCAGCTGCATATTCCTGTGCCCTGATTTAGTCCCTTCGTCAGTGGCTTCTAATGAATCAGCAGACTCCTTCCTGAGTTGTCTGACTCAGCTTCTTGATTGGTTTTGTGTTTGTCTGAAAGACGTCTTTGAACTACGAATGTGTCCTAGATCCTGGTTGTTTTCACCCTGGTATGTAATGCTGGGGATGAACTGGAGAAGTGGAGGAAGAGAGAGGTGCCAGTAGCTCTTAGCTCCTTGGCTCTTGTCCTTTGAATGAGTTCCTTGACCCTGGAGGGAAAGACACAAAGTCTTAATGAAAATGTCTGTTGGTTTCGGTTCTTTCATCTGCATGTGTTCTGGCATGAGCTAAAATAAGGAGAGCTGAAACAGGTCATGGACATGGAAAGATGGGTCTGTGGACCATGGTTTAATTGGTGCTTTAGGGCTTGGTGGTTTCCATTTCCAAAGTTTATAGACAGCTGTTAGAAGCTCAGCACGCTGTAGCATATTACTACTTGTTCTGGAGTCTTGAATTGGAGGCCTTTTTGCTTGTGTCTAGCCCTGCCTTTCATCTGAAAGATTTCTTTATCTTGCTCAGTATGTGCTTTGACAGCCATTGTTAGCTTTCATTCACTGTGAGAAATTACCTACTACTTATATGGCTTTTTAAATTTTCAAAGTGATTTAGAGAGTTGAGCTGGTTAATAAGTGGCTCAGCTGACATGATCTCTTATTTTCTGTCCTGGAAAGCAGAACTCTTATGGTCTTACCTATTTATACACCATGATTGCACTGATTCTATTATAGCCCTATATGTACAGTCTTTTGCTGTGGTGCTTGAGAAATAATGTGTTCCCTGCACAGATTTGCTTGCAGATCAGGAGCAAAAGTTGAAAGATCTGTGCTATAAGTAAAAAGTTTGTCAGGAGTTTGGGGTGAGGAGGTAGAGATGAGAAATGGAGAGAGAGGTCAAAGTCACTAGAAAGCAGTTAAAGTACAACCTGAAAATGAAGGAGAAATTTTAGAGACGTACATCTTCTTTCCAGAGGACAGCTTTTGGTTTTGAGACTTTTAAAAGAAAATGCTGCTTTTAACTTTCTCGCTGTCTTTAGCTTGATATTTTTTTTTTTTTTTTTTTTTTAAATCTGATTCATGTTTTGTGAGCATGAATACACTATTTTAGTGTAAAATACGGGCCCGATCAATGAATGAATGCTGGAACTAGATCCTTTCAACAGCAAAGAAAAATAATGGTAATCTAGTTAGGTAATCTAGCTCTCTGAAGAGATTTGTGCATATGGGTTATGAGACTGGACTGGAGAACTAGTAGCACCCACCAAGGAAATACTTATAATACATCTGTAGCTACCAAAAATTTAGCAGAACAGTGAGATCCCATGTCTATGTTAAAGTAAAACAGGTCCCTGAACTCTTAAGAGTGGACTTTCGAGCTTTTACCATGTTGGAAGTTTTATGTCTGTATTTGACCACCTGCTTGTGTTGAAAGTCTGGTAGTAATGGAGGGTATTTCTAAATGGCTTTACGTGATGCAGGGATATGCACATATGACAGTATATGGGAAAGCACTTAGGGATGAGTTTGGTAGTCTGGTTTTAAGTAAAGCAAGGCTCTGTCTAACAAATGGCCTTGCAAACTTGAAAGCTCCTGAAATAAGTGGTATCACATGTCTTAGTTTTGTTTTTAGATTGATAATTCCTAAATTAGTATTTCTTTATATTATTATTAGAAATGGTGCATATAAAATCTTCCTTATATATTGCATTTAATAACCATTTCTGTTTCTTAAAATTGTCTTGTCTTGTAGGTGCGGTTTATCACCAAAATATGGCATCCTAATATTAGCTCAGTCACTGGGGCCATTTGTTTGGATATTCTGAAAGATCAATGGTAAGATTCCATATGGATTTAAATGTGCAAAATCAAATATACCAGTGTCCTGGATAGGAGGCAACAGCTCATGTTGCTTTTCGCTTCGTATTTGTAATCTGAGATGTCCTTAAAGCTTCCAGTATTTTATTGTAGTATTTTGAGTTGAAAAGATGCAAATGACATGATTGGGTACTAATTTTGGAAAGTACTAAGTAGACATTATAAGTATAGAGAGCTTTTTAAAAAGAAAATTAACTAGGGTTAGGGTGAACATTTTGTTATTGATGTTTTGGGTGGTTTTGCTGGTGTTAATTTTTTTATTATTTCTTTTCCATTAATAAATGCTTCCTGAATTCTGCCCTTTAAGCCTCCTGAGGTGTAAGCAGAAAAAAAGCAGGTGCTTATCTTCATTCTCATTCTTGACTCATACTTCCAAATAAATATTAGTTCTGATGGAGCTAAAGCAATGTATGAAGTGAGTCTGGGAGTATAAAAGGTAACAGGTCAGCAATAGCAAATGCAGAAGAAGAAACTGACTGTACTGATTCTGTCTCACAGCTATCACTGATAATATTTATGACTTGCACCTCTGTAACCATTTGCCTTTTAGTTATTGGTAGGTTGCAGGCTTTTGATTACTTAAAAATGTTACTGAAAAAGTTTTAATAACCAAAATCTGTGGGATAGACCTGTAAGTGTCCAAACTGTAGCAAACTGAACTCTTTGTTCATTTGTTTTTCCAAGTGGTACATTTCAGGTGGTTTAAAGATCATATGTACCAACTGTATGATAGATATTATATCTAACATGAATGGAATTAATCTTTGTTATTTTCCTCCATGTCTGCCCCAAAAGGACTGTAATTCCCCAGCAGATGATACCAATGTCTAATCCATACAAGCTTCAAATGCTTGGGAATTCAACAACTTCATCAAGACTACTATTGGCCAAGCAGATGTCAGTTGGGTTTGAAAGTGAGACTCTAGAGCTCTAGAGGAGAAAGCTTGAGTTGAGGTCTTGCAGGTTATGCATCCAGTGTATTAGTCTCTTACAGAGTGAGAAGATGATGCAAATCATGGGGCACAGGATAGTGTAAATTACTAAAATGAAATAATAATCATAAGCTGTTGTCTTTATTTATGGAACTGCCTGTTTTTTCTTACAGGCTTGGGGCACTTGATGTTTTTTCAGGCAGTAGAATCTTTCAACACATGTGCTATGGTACATGGCATAACTTTTCTATCAGTAAAGCCAGTCCACTTTAGTACCTGCACCTAGTTAGTTACTCATAACCACCCTACAATTATCTGTAGTTTAATGACTCTTGAACTGTGCAGGTACAGTTTCCTGAGAGATCGTACTCTAAACCAGATGAGTGAGTGGGCATGAAGTTGACTGGTTCATTTGTATGTTGGGATTTTTTTTTATTATTATTTTTGTTTGCTTGGTTTTGGGTGGTCTGGATTTTTTGGCAGAACAAATTTTGGAAGGTGTTTTTAATGGGGATCACCTCACTGATTTGAGCACATAAATCTGCTCTCCCAGCCAGGCTTATTTCACTCAGGGCAAGGTTTAAGTAGTGAAGATATGGGAAGGTAAAAATTCTTTATTTCTAACAGCAAAAGTGCTTAACATGAATCTACATCCCAGCATCACTAATACTCTCCTGGGAAGAATTTATCCAAGGTTTTTAAGTTTAAGGTTTGGTTTATTTCTTCCATCTTTTGGTATTCCTTTATGCTCTGTCTGGTTGCTTTACTCATAGTATCAAGGTCTGTGACTTCTTAAAAGTATCTTCAAGGCTAATCTTTCCAAACTGAGGCCTGTAAACATCATGTTCCTCAAAAAAAGCACTTGGATAGGATTTTCTCCTGGAAACTTTGAGGAAAGACGGTCCCTAGCAGAAGTCATGCTTTTTTATCGCATTCTGAATTAAAAACAATGTAATAGATTATTTTTTTTAACACTTTCTTGTTATCTTCATATTACTTTCATATATTCTCTAATTAGTGTTTTCTGTGGAGAAGGATGGATCATCTTGCTTCTGTATCAACAGACTGGGATTCAGGAGACCACATGTTGGTGTCCAGCCCTGGAGCAGGTCGTCTTTTCTCTTTCAGCATTGCCAAACATTGTGATTTGAACAGTCTCACAAAGTTCAGTCTTATGCCAAAACTGCTGCTTTAAGAGAGAAGCAATTAATAGCTTTAAGATGAAAGTTTCTGGCTGGGCAATCTAAAAAATATCAAATGCTGAAAGGCTCCAAAGAACTAAAGAAATCATGAGCTTCAATTTATTTATTTGTAGTCAAAACAACTGAATTTTGGAAAGGAAGAATAGGAGAGGAAATTTGACTTGGGTTCTTATCGTTGAAAGTTGGATCTTGCACATATAACTTTGTCTGTGTCTTAGTTCTACCTGACAAAATACCTGACCAATACCTTCCTTCACCAAGACATGTACAAAATAAGAGTATTGGAATAAGAACTTCTCTGTATTTAAACCAGCTGGCCCAAGGACCACCAATATGATGCCATTTATATGCTGTTATTAAGCTCTTCCTTTGAAACACCGTCTTCATTTGGAAGCACTAAGGAAAGAATTTCACAGAACCTGGTGGTGGTGAGAGGAGTCTTCCTAAATACTACAATCCCTTTTGAAATTATTCTTAATGTAGTGAACCTCCTTCATTTTCTAGTGGTGCTCTTTGCAAGTTTTGTTTTTTAGTCACAGAGTGGTAAATGAAAATCTCTTGAGCATTGTAGAAGTCCTTGTCAAAGCCTGTAGTCCTTTGGAGATGAGGAAGCTGTTGTGGCTACCTCCATCCTTTCTTGTGTGAAGGATTTCGGTATTGTGATAGATAACACTTTGTTTCTGAGTGTCTTCCTAGAGCTGCTTAAGCTATATGAATAGTTACTATTGTTTAAATAAGTTGTTTATTGTTCTTTAGTATAGGCTGGTTTAGCTGTTTACACTGAGCAAAGCCCACATCACCATGTCTAAGTTTTCTGTATGTGTAGGTTGAACAACAGTTTGAATAAAATGATAGCTTCATTAGTGAACAAACAAAAAAATCCAAGCAACACCCACCCAACCTTACTAATTTAATATTTAATGGATTTCACCAGATACTCAAAGGTAAATGGGACAAATGCAATTCTGAAATATTCTAATGGCTATGTTCTAGAAAACATATTTAGTTCTGCAGTCTCTCTTGTCAAATCTTTTAGCAACGAGCTCTGTTTCTGAAGTGCCACTTCATTGACTTGTAATGCTCTTAACTGAATAATGCTGCTTTTGTTGCTGTGTTTAAATGTAATTCTCAAATTCCAATGCATAGCTGTGTTTTTCAGTGAGGTCAGTGGGAGTTGAAGGACAGAATTTAAGGGTTTCTTAAAGAGTTAATATACTGATGAAATGCTCATTTATATATGATGAATACAAATACAAAGATTTGAATGTGTGTGTTTAGTTAAAAAAATAATCTCTTCCCTACTCGCCCATCCCATGGTAATGATTTTCTATTCTAATGAGCATAGTTGAGATATTATTCTGCATATTGGCAGGAGGTTTTATCAGTTTGCAGTGTTTTAAAATGATTTTTAAAATTAGCTTAATGAAATTCTCCACAGTATATGCTTGGTGCTGAAATTCTTTGCAGCTGTGGATTTTCATCATGTTTAGATTTGTAAATACCTGTTATGCTAGTTTGTTTGCAGAACAGCTACTGTTTGCTGGTAGGATTAAAATCGGGATATGATTTTGTAGAAGGAATACTGTTTATGCTGATCTGATATGACCTTTGTTATGTGGTTTCACTTACTGTAGCCTATATTTATCTTCCAGGCTAGTATTCTGTCTCAAAATTGTATTCCTAAATATAAAATGTATCTAATACTGTTCATTGAAACCTGAGAACAAAATTACATGAAAGCTGTTCTGCATAAATCCCTTGAGCAGTGATTATCAAGCAAATGTGTTGTGGCTGTGTGTATGGCTGCAAAAAACTCTTGGCTGTTGTGGTTTTGACAGTAGAAATAAAAATGAATAATAAGAATACATTTTTCATAGTGGCTGTACCGGAGGATTCACGCTTCAGTTCTAGTTGAGATGCAGAGACCGTTATTGTAAGAGATAATACAATTTTAATAGATACATGAGCAACAGCCAGCTCGTAGTAATCATCTTCTTGGGTATCTAAAACTGCTGGGTTCTGTTCAGGGTGCTTGAGGAGCACTGAGCCTCTTTAAAGCTTTGAGAAAAATGCAGAGAATATTAACATTGTTCAAGGGAGCTCTTCAGCAAGCAGGCTGTCTCCCCCCCCTGCACTATGTCAAAGCTATTCTATTATTCTCTCTCCCCCTTTTTTTTTTTTTTTTCCCCCTTTCCCTGATGGGTGCCCAGCCTTGTATTTCTCCTGTAAATGGTGACTATACAAGGGGCTTCCACTGAAAGGCCTTATTCATTTCTTCCCTCCTTCCAGATTCCATAAGCCCTTGGTACAAGTTCCCAGAGTTTTTTCTCTTGGATTAACAAGCCTAGTTATTTCACAAATGGAATTAATATTGCAGATTAACTTTTAAAAAAATTTTTTTAAATAAAAAAATGTTCCCAGTAGCCATGTTTGGTTGCCAGAGCGGAGCAGCAATCTGCTGGCTGCTGCTGGTCTGTTGTTCTGCTGGGTTACCTCTCAAAGTACCTGGAGATATTGTTTCCAGAGAGGTATGTACCGAACACAAGTAAAAACTTCCTAAATGGAAAATCACTTAGCCTTTAAAAATGGAGAAGAAAAACTGGCAGTGTTTTATAATCCTCATAGGACTCTTTTCAGCTCATCAAAAGGTAAAAGATTTCTTACCTCAGGCATGCTGGGCACAGCTGGCTTGCTGTGCTTTTTAATATTAGCACTGCAGTCACCCAAACCAAGGGTGCTCTTTTTTCAATGGAAATGCCCCAAGATAGTACAAAAGAAAAAAGTGAATAAAATGTGTATCAGCTTTCCTTGTTCTGATTCGCTCCATGTTTCCCTGGCTGTTTAACAAATGCAATGCCAATAGAAAGCCTGGGGTTTGGTTAGGATGTCCAGAGTGGAAGCTTTTAGATTGAAGTTCTCAGAGGGGCAGTGCTCTCTGCAGCTCAGTGGTGGATGTTGCTGGCTTTTCCTTCCTGCAGAGCGGCTGGGCAGCATTTTGGGGTGGGAGGCAAGGGTTTAGGACTTCAGGAGAAACCAAGCGCCAGTAATGTCATGTGCGAGGCGAGTAGGATGCTGGGATGCAGGAATTTTTACCTGCAAAACTCATGATACAAGCTGCTTGCTTTTTAGTTCTGATTGGTCAGGCTTCCATTGGAGGAGTGTACCCGCTTTGAGCGTCATATTCCAAAAAAGATGGGAACCATAGGGAAAAAAATCCAGAGTAAAGTAACAAGAATGATGGTCTAAGCAAACATGAGCTACAATGAAAGACTGGAAAGCCATTTTAGCATGCAGAATATCAAGCATGGTGAAGCACTGAAATAGATTTTTCCAAGAAACTTGTGAGGCTCCAGTTAAGAACAGATTATACAGAAGTCTGTCAGGAGTGATACAGAATCTTGCCTTTGGCAAGGAGAAGAGGGGAAAAAAAAAAACTAAACCCCAAGCTGGCTTGAGTTACCAGAGGGAATTGCTTGAACTCCATGAGAGTGTGCATAAATCTACACCTAGGAATAAACTTTAAATATAAGAAAAGTTGGAAATCTCTTTTTTTCAGGATTCTATTCTGGAAAAATAAACCCTTGAGGAGCACTGGAAAATGCAGAAGACATGTATCTTTCCCCTGGAAGTTCATTTTAAGGAAAATACAGCTTTTTTGCAGCAGATTCTTCACTAGCTTGTGGGAATGTCGTGTGGGGGGTGTATGTTGGGTTTTTCAGTTTTATGCCACTATCAGCATAGATTTTCCTCCAGAGCTGATGATGAGAGTTGTTTTTGCTCTTTGCTGATGAGGAACAGGTCTGCCTTACTAGTGCCTCTAAATGCAATTCTGGGCAGTCATCTCCATTCACTTTATTCTCCGAAAAGAAGGTAAAGGGAAGGAAGAAGAGCTTTTTAAGATACTTGGGGAATGAGAATCTATTTTTAGCTGTCCCTTTGGTTTCTTCTGGGAATCTTAATTTGTGGCTGAAAAATTAAGCTACAGAGAAAATATAAGGGTTTTTTTACGTTCTTTGATCAAGAAAGTTAATTGTTGTCCTAAAGGTAGAAAATGTTCGATGAGTATACAATATTTACATGAAATATGTCAGCTTTTCTTTACCATTAATCACAAAATTTAATTTTCTTTTGTCAATACAAATAACAGCTGAGGTTGTAACAGGTTTTCTCTTACGATTTAAGGATACTTCTTTAAATGTTTGTGTCTAGTGAAGACTTTGTCTTATTATGCATGAGATTTGAAAGCCATTTTGAGACATGAGACTTGAAAATAAGTTGTAAAGTACATTTTTAAACCTTTTTACATATGTAGTTAAACTAGTCTTGTCTAAATTTATTATTTTAGAGTTTGAGTTCTCTGAGCATATAGCCATCTGTACATCCAAATGGATATTTATTTTTATTACTCATTTTGAAATTGGAATGTCAGAACAGAAGTTCAAGTTCCAGCATGCTTTTTGTAAAAATCTACAAACATAACAGATGAGCAGGGACTGAAAAGGCCTAGCAGTACTGAAAGCCAGAGTTGACTGGAGCCAGCACAGAAGTTGTTCTAGATGTCCATGGTGCCTTTGGTCCTTAGCATTGCCTCCTGCTCCCCAAGGTGTATTTTCTACTCCCAGAAGGTACAGTGTAAATGGAAGTAAATTGCATGTAAATGTGGCACAAGTGGCCACAATCCATTTAATGTCATCTTCTTTATTTTAAATAATGGCAGATTTTCAGATGTCTCTAAAGTAGAAGGATTTCTGTAAAGGAAAGTGCAGAACAGGTTTTATTTGGTGAAAATAACTACAGTATCAGCTACAGTTGATAGATATTTCATGTTAAGTCTAGCTTTAAAACTACACTAAATAGAATAATAAAACTACTTAGCTGGGAAAAAGACTTTAGGTTTTATAGCATTTGTGGTGGCTCCAGAAATTCACTGCATAAAAATAAAAATGGTTAAATCCATTCAGACATAGTAAGGCCTGAAAAGCTTAGCATTCTGTGATGCCTGAATGCTGGAAGGTAAACATGTTGTGTTACATCTATTTAGTACTTGCAGATACCACTGTGAATTACAGCACCAACGCATGCATTAAATAGATTAATTTCAAGACAGTATAAATCAGTAGAGATCACAAACAGGAACATGACAAGAGTAAAATAGCATAGGTGCATGTAAAGCAAAAATATTTCTATGCTCTTTCACTTAGGTTTTTGTGTGTGTGATTTAAGTGTGGAAAAACAAGATGCTTTGTACTCTTGAGTTTATGTATTAGCTGGGCACTCCTCACGCAAGTGAGGATATGTTTCATACCTTTCAGTAACTAGATGTTCTTTAGCTGATTAAATATAATCTTGCTAGTTAATCCCCAGCTTTGTTTGTAATTTAAACAAACATTCTTTGGCTTGGAAGAAGCATTCAGCTTGGAACCTTAAGTACTTGTATTTAACTGGAAGAGAATCTGAAATTCTGGGGAAAAAAAAATGCACATTCTGTAATAGCCAAACCTTTTTATTATTATATTAGTAATTAATCATGTAAATTGTTGAATTTTATTGAAAATTGTCATATTTAAACTGATGCAGTGTGAAAGGTATCTAATGTATACAATTCCTTATCTGTTACAAGTGTGTAAAATACAGGTCGCTATTTCTGTATATGCTGTTGTGCTGTGCAGAGTGCCAGCAGAGGGAGCACACGTGGGCCCAGTACCTAGACCTTACCCAAAGGTGCTGTTACTGCTGGTCAGGGAGGATGATGCAAACTTCAAATGGGCATTTTTGTTTTGTTTTGGATGAAATGAATTCTTTTTAGTGGCCACAATCAAATGTGTAGATCAAGGACTGTGTTTTCCAAAAGCTTAAGAAAGCATTCTTAAGAAGAAAGTCCACATTTAAAACCTCATTTGAATATATGTATTGAATGGTATTCTAATACCTATAATATCTTGGACTTACAATCTGTACATCTTCTATGCTACTAGTTCAGCGGCAAAGGTGAGTATAGGCGTGGGAGGTTGTAAAGTAATTTTCAAATTTTTAATTTTAGGGCAGCAGCAATGACTCTAAGAACAGTGTTGTTATCGCTGCAAGCGTTGTTGGCAGCTGCAGAACCAGATGACCCACAAGATGCAGTAGTGGCAAACCAGGTAAGATACTCTGTTGGCCTGTAGATTTGTAACACTTCTGTAACCTTTGCTAACTCAGATTAGGTCCCAAACCTTAGGGGAGACAAAGATTATTTATTTTTAAAGAATTTATTGGAAAATTGCTTTATAGTAAATGTGAGTTACTGTGGTGTTTTGTGCTCTTTACTCTTTGGATTCCAGAGTAAGTAGCAGTACAGTGTCAGGAGGTTTATTTTCTTAGTTTTGTTCCTTATTTAGCTTGTCAGCAATGTCAGGAGATAACAGCATAGGTAAATGAATGCCAGTATAACTTGCCTTCCAAAATCTAAGGCTTCTAGTATGCGAAAAGCAATGTTGTGTTGGTTTAAAATTAGTTTTAACTTAATGGTGTTTATTGGATTTGGCTTGGTATGTAGCTCCTCTTCCAGATTAATATGAATACTGTTGAGCATTGTATTTGTTTAATGTCAGAATTTTACAAATAGTGACTTTAGATGGATTGCTGTTGGGTTTAATCCTAAGGAGCAATTTATCTGAATGAAGCATCCTATATATTTTACTTTTGCAAGCACTTGGGATAATTATTATAGTCAGTGGTTGAGTTGGTATCAGCAGAATTCTATAATCAATGTTACTTTTCAGACAGTAGCAATAATTTATAAAAAGTAATAACAAAAAGTCATCAATTGGATCTGACGCCATACCAGGAATGACATGGTTCTATTTAAAGTGTTGATGAAAGATGGGAACAGTAATTCCATAACTTCATAGCCTGACGATTTTCAACGAAGTCCTGTGTGGTGTTTCCCTTTTTCCTCTGGGAAGAGAGGGAGAAGGCCTGGCTTCCCCACTGACTGGTAGTAAGGGTTTTATTTCAGTAACAAAAGAACAAAGCAAGTAGGAAGGTTCTCCCAGCACAGATCTCATCTATATCTCCTGTGGGTCAGGAACCTCCAGGATAGGTGACAACGTGTGTGCTTCCTCCCTGTAAGATAGGTGCAGGGTGCTAGATTAGCAGTTAATCCAACCTGTCAGGGTTTGGACGGAAACCTGGAGACCAGAGGTGGCCCGTTGCACCACTGGGTGGGGGGTTGCTGTTTCTTACAGCTGGACTGGGTACCGAAGGCCTGGGGGTGAGGCTCTGTGTACTCCAAGGCTGCTCTTGGCAAATGGCCCTGAACAGCTCTGTCAGGCCGAATCGCTCTGCGCAGGGAGAATTGTTCCAAAGGCATGTCCCTGCACCCGTTTTCCTTGCTGGACGCATGCCCTCGCTGTCACACGCTCTCTTTATTAAACCAAACCACTTTTTCCTTTTTTTTACGAAGAACAAGAATAGTGTTTCCTATTCTGGCCCTGGTGGTGGCATTTAGTGTGGGAATCACAGCGGTCTTGTAGAAGGATTTAAGCTGGAGATAGTTTGTTGTTGGGTTTTGTTTTCTCAGATGGAAAACTTCCTGAAACTTCCTAGATTATGAAGAGCAGTTTTTTTCAGGCTGCCTCTCAGGTGCCTGTGGGGATGTCCCCAGTGGGACTGTGGCATGGCTGATGTGGGCAGGATTCAGTTTCTCCTGTTCCCTGCAAATACCCACATGAGGACCGTGCTGGGGTTTGGCCTTGAGTGATTGTAAGGTCTTTGAGAGCTGTGGTGGTGAAAATCCAGTTCCTTCATGTGTTTCATTTGGTGGTGGCGTCTCCTTCAGTTTATTTGTTGGTTTGGATTTTTTTCCAAAACAAAAATTCACAAGGAATGATTTATCTTCCACACTCCATTTTTCATTATATTTACTAAACTATGTGTTAGACTACTAAGCTGTCCAGGTAAATGGCAGTGTCCTACAAGCTCTGGAGCTGAATCCCAGGGAGAGCACAGGGAGAACTCCTGTTTGAGTAACGGCAGTATTTTCAGACACCAGCTGTCTGGTGTCAAAACTACTTCAACTAGTTGCTGGGTTTTTTAAATACAGCAACATTAACTGCCTCAGATTCCTGACATAGAGACAGCAATAAAAGGTGCCTTGAGGCTTTTCTCAATTCAGAGAGAAGCTAGATTATTTACGGATACCTAAGTAAAGGAATTTTATTTATAGAGCACTAAAAGCTAGTTCTGAATAAAATGCAGTTATGCATTTATGACTAATACTTTGCACTTCAGCTAGTTGCTTTCTAGGCTTGGCAGTGTTTTTAAAAAAAATATATATATAAAAAAAAAGGTGGGGGGGAAGATCTCTTAAGAGTAGAATATAGTACTTCAGGATGCTACTGATGCTTGACTTAATCCCTCCTCTTTTCTAGTTGTTACAACCAAAGAAATGTATTACAGACCACTATATTTATAACACAGTGAGTTATTTCTGACGATAGGTTGTCTCTCATGTTCTAATGCCATTAATAATCAGTAAATATACGGATTACTTCAAGTGGAGCAGAATTAGTGGGAGGCATAAAAAGCATGCAATGCAGTGTTGTGTTTGTGTTGCTGTAGGAGAGGTAAAATGAAATGTACAGCTGTAAAAAAAGTACTGTATTTACTTTGCCAGTGTCTTATAGATTTAATGATTGTTTTAATGTATGAATAAAATGCTTAGAATGATAATCAGCCATGTTTCTGTCCTTAAAACGCATCTAAATATTTGAATGACATATTCCCCAATATTTTGTCTTATCATTTATTGCTAAAATTAGTATAAAGATGGGAATGGCTACTTTTTGTTTAAGCGTAATGATTAAGGGAAAGAGTGTTTTTTTTATTGAAAAAGCTTAAACTTGGTATTACATAGAAAAGTTGCTAAAATGGGAAACTCATCGTGCTTTTCTGAGTACAATTTATGACAGATGACCCACTTTCTTGGCTTGTGTTCTTGGCGCAGGCTGAAAACTCTGTGATAAGGTCCATTCTGTTGTTTATTAGAAAACTTTTTAGTGATGAGATTGGTGCAAAACAATAGTTACATATCCTGCATGATTTTTTTTTCTGGTAAATAATAGTTTGCATGAAAAGAGTTGTTGCTTCTTAGCTTTTCACACACGCTCGCCCATTTTTCAGCCCTGTGTGTCACACACGCAATCGATATCCTTATTCCTCACGAGGAAGCCTGGTAGTAAAATGTCAGCCCTGACTGAAAAACTGCAGACCTACTTGCAGTGTATAAAACCAGGCATATTTTTAAGTGATGAGAGAAATTCATTAGAGTAGTATGCAGTATGTACATTCATGAGATGTTAACATAGGGATAATTCGCGCTCTGCCACACTGAATATAAATTTGCAGTAGCTGTGCTAAATATAGCTGCTTTACTTCTGATCAGTGCAATTGAGAGCATACCTGATTGTACACATGAAATACCTATAGTGTGTAATTAAAAGCAAATTCATTAGATAACTGCTTGCATAGGTTTACTCTGGGTGTAATCCTCGCCTCCAAATTTCATTTCAAAAATAGCAGTACGATCAGTGTGAAACGCTGTTGAAGATACTGTAGAAAGAATGATGGATTGGAATCTGCCATATCTTGCTTTTTGGTTGGATTGCTGAGCTGATTTAACTTTTTCCATTCTCCCCCTCTCTCTTTTGTGTAGTACAAACAAAATCCAGAAATGTTTAAACAGACAGCTCGACTTTGGGCACATGTGTATGCTGGAGCACCAGTTTCTAGTCCAGAATACACCAAAAAAATAGAAAACCTTTGTGCTATGGGCTTTGATAGGGTAAGTATCTATAACTTCAATATTTTATCAGTAGGGGCAAGGCAAATGTATGTGTATAAATACAAGGAGTCATTAATGTACTAAAGTAGACTCGCTACTTCCGTGACCTTTTGTAGGTCTAATAATTCTGTTTTACTGATTCTTTTTAAGAATCAGAATTTTAAAATATGTTATTTGTAAATCTTGTGAGCTACCCTTGCCTTTTTGAAACATTTTTTTTCTGTAAATTATTAGTTAGGATTTAACTAATGATAAACTGACATGTTCTGATTAATCTGTGAACTTTTCATTCCACTTGTCAGAGCCGTGGGTTCATGCACTGAAAGTGTTAATCCTTTTGTTTTCTCGTTGCAGAATGCAGTAATAGTGGCCTTGTCTTCAAAATCATGGGATGTAGAGACTGCAACAGAATTACTCCTGAGTAACTGAGCCATGTAGAGAGAGCTGCTTCAGTAGTCCAGCTTGCCCCTTCTGGAGGAGCATCACCATCTGTTATTTTTAGGATTCTATATAGATTCTCTTTTAAAACTGGCACTCTTGCCTGATGATGCTATCTAGGCACTATTGGAGACTGAAAGAAACGCTCTGTAAATAAAGCTAATTAAACGTCTGTGTAAATTTAAAAAGGGGAAATACTTTAATTTTTTTTCTTACTAAATATTGTAAAAATTCTTTGAGCTCAGCTACAATAATGGGGGAAAAAACATGCCTACTTTAGTGTTTAGCAGTGTGACGAAGACTAGCAGGAACTTGCTTCAGGATTTTGATTTAGTAATTCAGAGAGCAACATTTTTGAGTGTTAAGTCATCAAATTGTTGGTGCCACTCATCACAGCTATCTTACTGTTTTTAACATGGATCCTATGTGCCTGTGGATTGACCTATATTTGCATGCTTGTACTTAATAGACATATTAGGTAGGGTCGCTGAAGAGAGCACCATTGAAATACTCGAGTGTTCTTGTAACTTTTTTTTCCTGAAAGACTTTCAAGACTTACCCAAAGTTCCAAATGGTGACCTATTCAGAACCAGTTTCTTTCTAGCTTATTAATTGGGAAACCTGATTCTCCTCTCCTTTACATCATGCAGCTAAAAAATCCTCACTAGATTATGTTTCATCATCTGTGGGTATTATGTGTGCCATTTACAGTAGTCTAGGCTCCCCTTTAAAGAATATATTTTGAATTATCAGTGATGATTTTCATCCGTCGTGTTTTCTACACAATCTCCTAAGGACTTTGCTTGGATACAGCACAAAAAGATGGAGCTGGTTTTCTTTCCTTTTTTTTTTTTTGGTCTTAAATAGATGTAAAATGTTCTTCAGTACCTTCTGGATGATATGATTTCACTGGGTTTGAAGGAGGAAGAAGCTGATTCTCTAGCGTACTGAGAATTAAAAAAAAAATTCTTTGAGTACTTGATATGATGCAATCAGCTGTGTTTCGCAGCGGTTTTCTAGCTTTATTTCGGGCTTCAATTTAGGGATTGCTTACCAGGTACTTTAAAATTCATCCTTGCTTGCATTTTTCTCTAGTTGACACATGGAGGCTGTGTTGGTGTTTTTACTGTACATACTTCAAATGCACATAGAAGTAGAAGTGTGTTCTCAATTTAGCTTTCTTTTGGATTGATGTTTCTGATAAACGAGAACTGAAATCTTACCTTGGCTTGTACATACAGTCAGTCTTTCTATTCGTATTAAAATGACATTTCATCCTGAGTGCAAAAGCTTGAAAATTATTAGTTTTGCAACTTCAAACACTAGTACATCTATTTAAAGAGAGCGGTAATGTCTTTGTGAATATGATGCTAACTTTTGAGAATATATCTGACAAGGAAGCTCAGAGAAATCCTGAGAGTAGAGAGCTGGGATCGTGGCTAATGGAGTACTGTATAAGTCATCTTTTCTATGACGCTTTGTTTTTTTTTATCCTAAACAGTGGACTAATGGGGTGGGGAATACGTGTCTGTTTGGGATTTTTTGTGTAGCTATGAAGTACAAGTTGAAATAGTTTCACACTTCATAGACAGTCTGTTTATAAATCATACTAGAGGAAATCGGGAACATTATTGTTGTGTCTGTTAAATATTTGGATAGGGGAACAGAACCAGAAAAATAGAGCTGTAGAGACCTGAGCAGCTGAGGGATGTTCCCTGTGCTGCTCTGTCTCATGTGTCCAGACTTAAAATATTTCAGGGCACAGACAGGAAATACTTTGAACTCATATCGGTGCAATACTAAATGGGTTTGCTTAGACTTTTTACTTACTGCTTTTTAAGGTGTAGTCAGTGATCATTTTTTGGGGGTTTCCTTGAGTTAATGTAGATCATTTGCAATGATGCCAAAGGAAATGAGTTGTTTTGTCTTTCCTAATATTTATTTATTATTTTTTTTACCAAGAAGCTGCTACTGTTCGGCTGGTTTGTTAGGTGAAAACCAGGGACAGTAGGGAACTATGGCAAAATGCCACTCGTTTTAATCTCAAGTTGCTGTCTTTTCTGTTATACAGGTTAAGAACTTCTTGATTATTACATCATCATCTTTTTTTTTTTTTTTTTACTCTGGTGGTAATTATAAATTGCTGACTACTTTCCCTTGTTCTTCGCTGCTATTTATCAAAAGAACGAACTTGGAAATCATTGTTGGGGACATTAAAACTTCTCAGTCACAGGCTTCTGGACGTGTCTTCTGATAAGATTAGTCTCCTGAGAACAGCAGGTTTTTCCAACAGTGTGTGAAGGGCCAAAGGAAGCCAGGGAAAGGGGGAGGGGGAGAAAAGAGGAAATGGTTCTTGGGTGAGCGTGGTCACCTCTGAAACAATGCCCTGTTCAGTTTTATTTCTCTCATCAAGTTACCTCATTTTCTTCTCTACTGCAAAACACTGGCCTTCCCCTTTCCCCTTACCTACAGATGTCGGATACTGGTTTTTGCCCCCCATCCATGTGCTTGGTAGCAAAGATATTTTGATTCCAGCTGAGATGCTGGCAGGAGGGAAGGAAGCATCACCCAGCATTAAGGAGGCATCTGTGGTCTGAAATCCCTCTGAATTTTGACACGCGAGTCCTTCTTGAGGAATGTTTTTGTGTTCTTGGTGACTACCAGAGTTGAACATAGGGCCGATGTTGTATGAGGTTAGTTTAACTGGGGCTGAGCCCTAGGAATTTTGCCTGTTGGTGTTCAGTTTATCATTGTGAGTGTGTACATACCCAGCGGTCGTTCTGTGTTGTACGTGGCTGTACGGAGGGCCCTGTGCATTCACAGGGGGGTTGCCGTGCTCTGGCTGCCCACTTACAAGAACATCAAATGCGGGTACAGCTGCTTTCGAAGTACAAAGAAACCCTGCATTGTCTTCCTCTGTTGTGTAACAAGCCAGCTCGAAACAGTGATGTTGAAGTCTAGATGGCCCCGCTTTTCTAAACAAGGTGTGGGTAATGAAGCTTGGTGGTTGCCTGGAGCATCGGTCGGATTTTGCTGCTGAAGGTTTTAACATGCATTGAGCAAAGTGGGTTTATCCCTCGTTTGTTTCGTTGGTGGGGAACAAGAAACTCTTTTCTCGCCCGGTTCCTCGAAAAGTAAACCGCAGCTTTGTTCAAAGGTAGAGAAATGCCCTTTCCTGTTGCCAAAAGCCTCCGTTTTCCCATGAGTGCCAAAAGCCCTGACTGTATCCTGTCCCCACTCGCCAAATTCACAGCTTCCTCCCATTGCTTCTGCGAACAGGCTGTGTTCTCAGGGTGACAAACTGGTACATTTTGGAGACAGAAAACTTGGGAACATATCCTTCTGGAAAGATGCGGCACTTACTGCTATTCATTCTGCATATTTCAAGCTTAAATTATATTTTTTTTATTTAAAAAAAAAAGCTTGCCACAGAGTACATGGGGCCTTGACTATAATTGGTTCGATAGTGTTTATCTGAGTAATTAAGTACTAATAGTGTAGGAATAGGTCTCGTCGTTTGTTTTTTTTTTTTCTTAAATTATCATTGTATTTAACTGTTTTCCAAGTAAATTAGTATTGGAACACTGACATAAGGAATACAGGATCTTCTTTTTGTCATTGTTGTTGTCTGAAAGGAGGAATTAAATAGCCAGAAAGAAGCTTACCTTGTAAGGCCAAACCTGGGTTCTGTGCTGTGGGTAACAGAAACATTTAAACTATGCAAATTTCAGCTTAAGAGCTGTGAATCAGAGGCGGGGCTGCAGAGCATGTGGATTGCTAATCCAATGGGGGAAAGGAGAAGGGGAGGGGGGCAGGAATCAAACACAGCTTCGAGCCAGGGTTCATGTTTACTGTCCTGGTCATGGACGGTGAAGGTGAAGTGTCCCGTTTTCGGGGCGAGGGGAAACCCAGCCGTGTGCCTGTCCCTTGTTTCCTTCCTGATTCCGACACGAGCTGGCTGAGGCTTGGAGGCTCGCCCAGAGGGGGAAATGTTAAACAATCTAGCAGTGGAAGTTAGTTTTGCTTCATGCTCACTGACGAGCAGATGCGACATGAGGGTGAGGTGTCCTCTCCTGCTACGTTTTGTTGCTAGAGTGGATGGGAAGCATCGCTTTGAGCGTGGCCACTGGTTGGTCACCCCGTGGTTGGGTTTGTAGAGTTCTGATAAGCAATTAGCAATAGGTAGCGAAAGCACGTTTCATCACACCATCTGTCGTGTCACAGAATGGAAGCACGAAACTCAAGATGCTCGTTGGGTGCCTCAGGTCTGGGAAGACCATGTAGATGTTTCCCTGTGTCCATCCTCATTTTCCAGGCACAGCTCTCCCAGGGCTGGGCAAAGGGGCAAGCGCCTCTTTCAATCTTGAGAGTTCTTCTGAGCTCCTCCAGACCCATTGGTAGATCCCATAGCTCGCTCTTCCCCTCTGTGGTGGTGGTGTCATCAGCTGATTCATCCTTAGACTGGCGATTCCAGCTGTCCCTAATGCCTCTTGCTCCTGGGGTGGTTGCCCGGCTGCGGGGCTCTGGAGGCGGTGGGTTGGGTCTCCCTGGACAGACTCTGGCAGATGGTTTGTGCTGTGACGGGGTGTTCCTTCTCTGCTGTCACCTGCTCTGGCCAGCCCTGGGCTGCTGGGGCTGGGCTGTTCGTTGAGGATGTCAAGGTTTGTGACCTGGCAGCCGAGGAGCTGTGCTGTGAAAATGCTGTGCTTGTCCCTTTCTGCCATTTGTGGCAACTGCTGGTGCTCTGTTGCGGTGTCTGAAGGAGGCTGCCGTCATATGAATCACTGATGTCAACTGTTGAAGAACCCTGCTTTTCACTTAACTTTTCCATCCTAAATTCTTGACTTTTCTAATTAAAAAAAAAAAAAATAATTACCAGTAAAAAAAGAATCCCAGGAGGTTGGCTCCTGGGCATCAGACTTCCTGTACAGGAGGAGTGGGTGGGCTGGAATCGCAGCATCAGTGGTGGGGTTTTTTTTGTCTTGGAAATAAAAAAAACCTACACAAACACTTTTGTACACAAATGGTTTTTTAATAAACACACATTTTAAAAGATGTTGATTTTTTTCACTGGGAATGCTTAACAAATAAATGCATGTTTCCCTGAAAACAGTTTTGATTTTATTTCTGGTACCTGGAGTTGCTGTGAGCTGACAGGGCTGCCTGCCTCCCTGGCAGCCGTGAGAGAGAGAGGAAAGGGATAAGCAATTTTTCATGAGGCACATCAAAAAATTCTTGAAGAAAATTGTGTAAATATAAGCTGTGCAGTGAAGGTGTGTGTTAATTCAACTGGGCCTGTCTTGTGTGGTAGCCTAAGAAATACCTGTGTGTATGAACCCCTCCTGCCTCCTCTCAAGGCTGTGTCTGAAGGAGCAGAGTTGGTAACTCGTGGAGAAACAACTTTCCTTTGGATTTTCCAACCCCATCATCCTCATCTCTCTGTGTTTTAAACTGTGTACTTTATTTATATCATCGGTTCTTACCTGGGGAGGTGGCAGCCTGTTGGCAGGAACGATCTGGTACAGAGGACAACTGTGGATTTGCTTGTTGCCAGGATGTAATATTCACTTTTTTTTTTGGCACATTTGTTGGATGGAGAGAAAGGGTGTGAAGGGAGAGCCTCTGCCCTCCTGCTCCTCCTCTGAGCAGGGAGCCGGGCTGTGGAGCTGGTTGCCACACTCTGTCAGATCTTCCTCCCCTCCTGAGGGCTGTGTGGGGGTGTGCGTGTCCTCAGGTGGGTTTTGCAGGTCTCCAGGCAGGTTCTACCAGATGTGAGGGAGCTGCGCGGTTTTAGGGTGTTCAGACAGCGGCGTGAGGGGGGTTATTGCTGTTTGTTGTTCAACTTTACAATCATCAGGAGCTGTGTTTATTGTGGTACCTCATTTGTCAGAGGGGTGAGGGAGAGGGAAACACTCCCCAGCCCCTCTGCTGCAAGGTCGGGGGGGACTTCTTTTAGCCCGCCTGTTAATTTAGGATAAAAAAATTAAAAATCCATATTCCCTTGTTGTTGTAGTAGTTAGACACTACAATGGCACGGGTAACTGAGAGCTGCTGTGTCACTGAAATACTTGCCTTGTCATTTCCAGCGCCCTGGAACTGGAAGGGAGCTGGTGGTTGAAATGGAGGTTGGTGCTCGGTGGCTCGGCTCCTCCTGTGCCGCCTTTTCCGCTTGGCTGTGACCCCGGGAGGGAGCTCCCCCGCTGCCACGTAGGGCACGGCCAGGAGTTTGTGTTGTTTTAAGGCCGAGTCTGGGTCTGGAGCATCCGTGTCCGGTGTGATGTCAAATAAACCATGTTGCTTCACTTGGTGGCTGCTTTGTGTTGAAATACATGAAGTCTTCAGGTGGGCTTGTGACGGCCTGGTGTAAGAGAAAGGGTGATGGGCTGGGATGGCGAGGGAAGAATGAGCCTGGTGGTGCTGCGAGGAAGGTTTTGTGATATTACCTGAGCCACCAGGCCCTTCAGCAACCCCAGTTGCTGGTGTGGAGCTGCTTCTGCTCACAGGTGTGGTGTTGGGGGCCATGGGCTTGTGGCCTCACCTCTTCTGGGTGGGAAAAGGGACCCTGCACAGCCAGGGCCTTGCTTTCCTCCCACCATCTTTCCCGAAGCAGTTCTTCTCCCAGCTGGCAGTTTAAGAAGGTGGTAGGTGGTGAGTAGTGGAGGCTCCTGCTGATCCTGTTGGAGAGGTTTGGGAAGTTCCTGGATCGTGGGAGTAGCCCTTGCTGGTTCCAGGGCAAAGCTGGCCGTCCCCCATTTTAAACATCCATCCGCTGCCCGGGTGGGGAGTTGGGTGTGAGGGTGGCTTTCTTGAAGCAGGAGCACCTGCCTGGTCACCGCCCAAGAGCCAAGTCTGCTCCAAGGTGGGTTTGGGTTCAAAAGTCAGACCTGGAATGGGCTGGTCCCTGTCCCGACTGCCACCCTGGCAGAGGAGCCCGTCTGGCAGCAAAACCCCAGCGCTGGAAGTCGGGGTGTTTGCCACAGTGTTTAAATTACCCTAAATGCGAGGGGCCCAGGTGTTCCTGGAAGTCATCAAGCTGTGTTGGATGTGAGGTGGTTTATCTGGGTAGAAAGTGGTTTAGAAGAACGCAAGCCATCAGTTCAAAGGGCATGAAAACCCCTGGCGTTTGTGGCTTTTACTGTTAAAGGGACAAATGTGTATGAACTTCCCTGAGGTGACTGCCCCGATGGGGTGGGGAGGGACGTTCTCCCTCTTGTCCTTGGTGTGCACGGTCCCCACTGTACCATCTGCCACATCCAAGGCCTGAAGTGATCTGCACCACATCAAAAATGCCAGGAGTAAGTTGTCTCTAGGCCATGCTCGTCAGAAGAGAGAGCTATTTAGAAGCAGACGTGTACGAACAAAGTAGCTACCAGAAGTTCACCGAGTCAGATGACACAGAGGTGGAAAAACAAAACCACAAAACCTCAAAAGGTTCTGAAGAACAAAGAAGGTAAGAGTTGTTCTTCATACTGTTCATGTGCTGTTCTCCTTACGTATGCGTGCTCCTTACTGGGGAGGAGTTCAGCAAGGGGAAGTGCACAGGAACTTGGGGGAAAATAGGACCTGGTGGACACCAAGTTGAGCACAAGCTCTTGTGGCAAATGGTGTCCTGTTGCCAGCAGGTCGAGGGGAGTGATCCCACTCCTCTGCTCAGCACTGGGGCATTTCTCTGGAAACAGAGAAGTTTTCTGGGGGCCCCTTCCAGCCCTCTGCTCCCTGGGAAGGGGCACCTCTTCCCATTTCTGCTGTGGGCTGGGTCAGGCTGGTGGCCCCAGAACCAGGGTTTCCACCAGGTGCTCAGAGGCTCCATGCCGTAGGGAACAAGCACTGGCCCATTCAGGTCCACGCTGAGGTGCCCAGCGGGGGTCTGCTGCTTCTCTGCCCCAAAGTCACTCATGAAGGTGGTACGGGGCTCTTCCTCTGTGCAAGGAGACCAGGTGGGCCATAGGTCCCACCAACCCCAGCCAGCCCCGTGCCCAGAGAAGCCCCGTGACCCTGGCAGCCCACCGAGAGGCAGCTGGGTGTAGGCTGAGCCTGGCACCTACACACCATACGTCCCCACAGCGCTGCTCTTGCCAGGCCCCATCTCTGCTCTGCTACTCCAACGGCTTCCTCCACACGTGCAGCCGCTTGGACGTTAAGGAAGCTGCTGCCAGCAATAAAATAAATATATCGTTTTAATTATTTTTCTTTTAAGTAGGTCAAAGCTCCCTCCATTATCCTACTTAGAAGGATTTTGGTAACATCTGCTGTGTCAGGGCTTTGGCAGGGTCAGTGCCTGAAGGTTGCAGGAGATTATACCAAAAAGCCCTCGCGTCACTCCCACACATCATCCTTGCTGGATCTGAGCACCACGGACATCTTCAACTTGGTGTTAGGAACTGCTGTTGTGGCAAAAAACAACTCCAGGATCAGCAAGAAGAGAAAAAGAGGGGGAAGCTCCTGCTGGGAGGTGAAGCTACTGAGACAACTTTGCAAATGGAAGAACAAGCTCAAGTAATGCTCGATGGAAACACTCATCGTGGTGTTTGAGGACTCAGAGCCAAATATGGAAGTAAGTAAATCAACCACCCCTTTCTCTAGGGATGTACCTCCAAGCAGAACTTCACGTGTGGTCACTGAGAAGAGCCTGGCTCCATTTGTTTACGCTATAAATTAGGTATTTATACGCACTGATATGCTCTGATGGATGATCTTACCGGGAAGATGTCTTTGAAACCTGGAAAGCCAGAGAGAAGACCATGGTCTTCATGGTCAACACAACAGGACTAGAAACGCCACCACCATGTGGTATGTACAGGTTGTGGGAGTTCAGTGTTTCACACCCCTGCACAAACCACAAGAGATCAAAAATACATATTGCTTCTGGCTGGGGGACTGCTGGAGCTCTTCTGGAAGCTGGATGAGCCAGATGGCCAGAAAACTTCCCTAAAGATTTGGAGGTTGGGTCAAGACTCTCAGGCAGCTCCTGAGGTGACTACGTGGGGTTCACAGACCAGGTGACATTATGGTAACACATGGGGTGCTGGAGCCAGGATCTGCACAGTAGACGTTTCCTAAAGAAGCCAATTTCCTGTGTATTGCCAATGTTTCATGGTCCTCAATCTTTTCAGATCTTTAGAGGAGGAACAGTTCAGGTGTGGGAGCCCCAGCATTAACCTGAAGCTCAAGAGCTGGTCCAATGTTGAACTTGGTCCAACAACGTGCACTAAGTACCTATTGGCTGGGAGTACATTTTAGGTAAGGATTTGTTATTTATCAGTTCCAAAACTTTCAGGGCTCGTAAGTACGTGCAGAAAAGATTTGTAATGTGTTTATTTTTCTTGTTTAAGATTGCTCTAGAGAACAACATTATTTTGCCTAAAACAACTATTCAGATTTAATTTTGTTGAGTGGTAGAGGTTTAATTTAGTACGTTACAAAATATGTTCTGAGAACAGCCTTCCTGTCTTTCTGTCAGGGCAGCCGTGCAGCCCAGGCATCGGAGGACACAAAGAAACAGAAATAAATGTATGTCCACTAAGAAACAAAGCCACACTTTTATGAAGATGGGAACTTAAAGATGATGAGAACTGAGCTCTAACTATGTAACCTGAACATGAAACCTCAGCACCTTGAAATCCTATGCTGGATAAAAACACCATAAGAACTGGGGTTTTTTGGGCTTCCTTTTCTTCTTTGTCACACATTAACAAGGAAAAACCTCTGAGCACCGGTTTTCTTATTACAATGAGAGAATCCCCCTTCTTATGTAAAATATTTTAAAAGTCGTATATGGCCAAGTACAAACCCCCACACCTTTCTTTAGAATAACTTGCCTTCAATTCCACAGATTTATGCTGACTACTCTTCAACAGATTTTATTTTTAAGGCATCAGAAAAAGTATGTATGAATTATATACTTATAAAAATTATGGCTCTACTTGTTACAGGTATCCCTGTACTTGTTATAAAGGCTGCTGGTTCCAGCTACTCACAATCACCAGTGGGACTGATGGGATGACCCCTGCCCTTCGTGGATACTGTTCTGACAGAAAGATGTCCATCGCTGGGGCAACTCTGAACTGGACCACGTGTGCTCTCCGGGCTCTGGGGGTGCAGGCAGAGAAATTCTGTGTGAAGCCTCCTCTGGGGCAAGTTCTGAAAAGGAAACAGTGGGCCACCAGTAGACCTTTCCTACAGTTTGATGCTGGATTTTGGCTGAGCCAATCACGCCCAGCATAATTTGCTGCGCGAATGTACCAACTTTCTGTGACTATAATGATCATCAGGAGCTGGGAGTAACTCAACTGTCCCCTGAAAGAAAACAGAAGAAAGATACCCTATGTAACTCTGTACAAAGATAACTGAGCCCCCTGCTCTGAGCATGGCACTGAACCTCCAGAAACTCCTTCTAACCTAAGTTATTCTGTGATGATTGCTTGAGTAACTTGACATTTGAATTAATTAAAAAAAATGGGGAAAAAAGGAAGAAAAAAAAAAAGGAAAAAAACCCCATCCAGCAATTATCCACTTCAAAAACTCAGAGCATTTGGAAACAACTCTGACTATTTGCAAGATTTGTCAAGTCCTGATTTCAAATCCTTGTTAGAGGCACAAGGCTAGGTACCAGAACTCATTTCTAAACGAGAGTTCCTTTTCTAGGCAGCAGCTAAAAACTTCTAACAAATACAATTAAATATTGTTTTAAACCAAAATACTGTAATCTCTGCACGAGGGAAGCATTTGACCAGAGCACTACAAAGAAACTGCAATATGACCAGTAAATCCATCTTGTGAAATTATTTCCCTTTCAGAAATCAAACCCCTGATGGATGTGTAAATCGACGCTTTTGAAATCTCCGCGTCTCCCTCTGTCAAAAGCATTTCACATCCTTCAAGCCAAAGCTCTGGAGAGAGAGTCTGATTTCCGCCGCTACAGAGCAAAAGAACTCTTAACACCAGTTAAAGAGAGACCTTGTCATTGTTTAAGAGCACACAACGGGGGAGCAACCAAACTAACGCCCACAGCATCCACCTCTTCTACGCGGCGTGAGGGGATTTTGGAGCCATTGGCAGAAGGGAAATGGGGACCTGAGGCACCGTGAACTGTTCGGTGTCGCTCTGCAGATCAGCCTCCTTCTTCCCATACAGCATCACAGGATAAAGCACCCTAAATTCACCTAAAACTTCCCTATCCTTCAAACTCTGTCTACATTACAACCTCTTTGCTCCATACAGTATTTCTATGAACACCCAAGACCATGCACAGATACAGCAAGTAGTTTTCTGTGAAAGAAAATTAAAAAAGAAAAAAAGAAGAAAAAAAAAAAGGAAAAAAAAGACTGCCACATGACACCTAAAAGCGTTTATTTTATGCAACAAACTTAAATATGATCATGTGTACATAAAAGTGTACACTGTATCTATGCTGAACAATGCCAGGAAACATAATATTGATGCAACAATCTTCTAAAATAAACATTAAAAAATGAGCCTGGACAGGAAGACAAAATGCAAAACAGACTTACTTCCAATCAGCACAATGCTTAAAATTGAGAGCAATCCTAAACATTTCCAACTTTCCTTACAAAGCTGCCAAAGTCCAACTATTTTTAAAAATTGATTTTTTTTTCTTTACATCAATAATAAAAATCTGGTGACAAACATTATAAAATCAAATGCTGGACTGTCTTTACTCCTTTAAAATTTAGAATATTCCAACAGAACCGTAGGAGTAAAAACACTTAAAAGTGATATATGTTTTTATAAAACAAACATCAATATGTACATTTATTGCAAATTATATTAAACTAAAATGGAGGGAAAATTAAAAAATGAAATGTCTACTTGCGAATTAATAATAATTTTAAGTGATTACTTTCCCACTCTGATAAAAATCAGAAAGCAACATTTATAAAATTGCCACCACATGACTTTTCATAGCAGGGAACTGAAATCTGTACATCTTATTTTTGCAGAAAAGTAGGCAGGCAGAAAGAATTATACATAAAACAGTCTCCAAAAGTAAAGCAAAAAAAATTTTGTTATTTTTTTTTTCCTCTAGTCTTGTTTAAAATCCATTCAGTAGACTTCTACTTTTTCTGTGAAACATGGGAATACCTGGCTCTAGGATCATGAATTTTCAATGTCAGTGTAAGGACCTCCTTTGACTTTCTTTAAAAAAAAAAAATGCAGCATGAAAATTAATGGTGTAAATACACTTTTAAACTCCAGAATGCAGGAACTGGAACCAAGTGTTAAGCAATTTGCTTAATTATTGACTTTTCATAAAAAAAGTCTCTGGGGAAATAAGTACAGATGCTTTTAGCCTCTTTCTCAAGAGTTTCTGCTTTACATTTCCATTGGATTAATTTCATGTGAAAGGGAAGCATAGTTTTCCTTCTGGTTTCAGAGCTGAAAGCTGTGTGTTTTGAAGTAATTTCAGTTCCTGTACAGGAAATTTCTGAATCCTAGTTTTTGCAGAAGCTTGGAGCATGCCTTTATTTGGCCTTCATTTCCTCCCTTTTCGAGCGAGTTTTCTTTTTACCTTTTTTGGGGGGAGAAAAGGAAATAAAAGTTAATCGTAAGGACATAGAAATTACAATTGATTCTACATCAAATACTACCTATATCGTTTACAATTTAGCTTTTACAGTCTTTATATTGTGATTCTTCCAACTCCACCTTGTATCTTCTCAAGGATTACATAATTAATTGAATATAACTAGATTTCCTTATTATATAGCACAACTTCCTGATAAACTGGGAAATACACAAGTTGAGTAATAGTAATTCTGTAACTGACTAATGCCTTTTTCAGCATAAACAGAAATACATTTATCCACAGCTTTCACTGGAATCAGAGAATAAGAATGGTTACTTGTTCTAATTAACTGTATTTAATTACCCAGGTTTATAAAAGAAGATAGATGCTTAAGAACAAGCACTATTTCAAATGTTTTTCAAATATTTACAGTAACTTGTACATGTCTACTTAAAAGCAAAAAAAACCCAAACCCTATCAGACACAGCTATTTTTACATACATTTTTCTAGAAGATAGACAAATTTCTTTGATTGCTTGCTGTATAAGCTACAATAAAACACAGAGAATTGTCCTATATAAGACGCCTGCTACACCTTAAGGAAGCCTCCCTCTGCTATCTCTGTATCCTCAGTATCTTCCTGGCTGCTCCCACAGGCCTTAAAAAGATCCATTGCATTTTGGGAATATTCTGGACTTGAGTCTATCTCCAACAGTGAATCTCCATCACTTCCAAGCACCTGGCTTCTGAAAAACGTTAACAATGTTTTGGTGTTTTTTTCCAAGAAACACTAAGGCATTACACACTTTAAAGAAGCTATCTGACACAGGTGGCTTATTAAAGGCTATCGATAGTGCAATTTGTTACGAAGACTTAAAGAAATATGATGTATAAAACAAGCATTGCAAGACAGTACATAAATATCACTCTCTTGAAAGACCAAACAATTTACTAGTGCATGAACCTTGCTGTGAGAGGAAAAGGTAATTCTTTTTGATCAAGGTTCTCTGCAAGATCTTCAATTTCCAAAATTGAAAGAAAGAAAGAAACCATTCCAATGATTCTTTCTTCCTTTAGATTAATTTGTTATTTCTTCCAGCACACTGGTTTGCTGACCTTGTCTTAGTGCTCTACAACCTTGGACATTTTTGCATGAAAATTATTATTGTATCAGATTCAACTAAACAAATTTCTCAGTGTTTATGTGCATTTGTGGTTTGTTTATATTGGAAATCAAATCAACACATTTAAACACTAGGGTATAGAAAAATAAATTATGATCCAAGAGCTGTTCTGTAGTTTACACAATTCCAAAATCTGCTTTTGTTTTACTTAAAATATATATTAAAATATTGTTAATATTAAACAAGCACAGACCCAAAATATAAGAATTACAGTTAGAATTACAATTTGTTCTGTTCATTAAAAATGGTCAGTTTTCAAGCCTTTGTTATCAATGAACTGAAGCAGAGTAGAACATTTCAATTCCTGTGTGCCTGGAATTAACGAATGCACTGAAACACCCTCAATTTTTAGTTCTTTTACGCAGCAACGCACTTAAGTGGAACAGACAGAAAATGAAGTTTGGTGAAAACAGGTTAGATTATCCTGTTCTCACCAAACAAAATAATTTCACCAATTCCAGCTGGCCTCATACTTACTTTAAAAAATAGAACAACCCAATATACGTTGGACCATGGTGTTTATAAATCATTGTGGTTTAGTTGTGCCCTTTAAATATGCTACATCTGTTGTAATTGCAAATTCAGGGTCTATGTGGAGACAGGAAAGGCCCACCCCAACCAGGTACTTGATTATTTATTTATTTTTACCTTTGTAGATCAATTTGTCTCTGTGCTGCTGCTGGCTTTTTTGCTGTGTCTTGCTGTTTTGGTGCTTTGGCATTACCTGCCTCTAAACTCCCTGGACTTTCTTGACTGACTGCTGCCCTTTTCCTTCCCCTGACAGGTGGCTTGTTTGTTTCCTCATTTTTTGCAGTGGTGCCCTGAGGTTCAGGTTTGGGTGGACGCCCTCTCCTGGTTTTTGCTGCGAGTGATGGTCCTGTTTCATCTACATTTTTTTCTTCTGGTTTTTGATGAATATTCTCTGTTCCAGATGCTGTTGCTGTTCTTTTTTTCCCACGTTCAGTGCTGTTGCCTTGTGTAGCCTGATCAGAATTAATCTCCTAGAAAATAAAAATCATGAATGTCAAGAAAAAAAAGAGATTCCCAAAGGCAAACTCAGATTGTTACCTCCCTCTGATAGAAATATGCGTTTGTAAAAGTAAGCATTCTTATAAAAACACATCACATGGGCTTAGACCTCATTAGAAGTTTTACTAGATGGGATTTTGGACATTAACCTTGCACTGTGTGTAATGTTAATATCTGCATGCAATGGATCTTCCAGTTGCTTGAGAGTGAGATTACGGTAAAATTAATAATCTCAGTTCCTCCCATGATGGTTCTTCTGGACAAGCTCCTTTTACTGCCTCTTTGCCAGCTGGTAGGAAAGATGCCAACTGGCAGGAGAGAACTGAGGAGCAAGATTCAGGTACAACAAAGATATTTACTTAACAGATACACAGTTTTTGAGAACAACATTCAGGAAAGGTGCAGATTACTAAAACCCTAAATATAAGTGAGAGGAAAAAAAACAAAACAAGGCTTGCAGGGAATAGAAGAGAGTAAGACCTGATCACAAATGAAATTTGCTGTCTTTGTTACTTCTTTGTCGTGTCTGAATAGGTATGGCCTACACGTGTGTTTTTCTCATTACGCTGAAGCGATTAAGTTTCATGAAGCAGCCTCTGTGCATGTGGAACAGAAAGGACAGGCAGGTCTCTGCACAGCAAAGTATTTGTACGGAAACAAAGAGGAAGCAACTGGATGATGGACCTTCCTTTGAACACCGGCTTCCGAAACAGCGAGGAGGAGGGGCAGAGCAAAGGCTACTGAAGAAGTAGGGCTGGGCTGACTTAGCAATTGCAAACACACCAATTATAACAGTGAGGGGCCCTAAGTGCTGGGTCAGAACCAGGGACCTTTTTGTTAAATAGTCTACCATTATTTCTTAAATGTTTAAGTCAGGCAGTCTCCGTAACCTTTATTAGTATTCTAGCAGCTTCATAGCACATTTATAATTTCTACTCGTAAGAACTTTACAGATAACCACTCTTTGAAAATGTCAACTGAAGTCATGTTTCAAGAAAGCATTTTTAAAGATTTATTTCATAAATGCTTTGTCTAACTTCTCAGAAGAATCCAAAAAGGTGGAAAATAAGGAAAAAAAGGAAACATACGTTGAAATTTGGGAAAGATTTTTTTCCTTCTTCATTAGCTTACGTGGATGTTATTTTAAAAGATTATGAAAAATCTAACTTTTCTATGTGATGATAGATATCCAAACCACCTGCCTATTACTCTGATTTCATCTAATAAAAAAAGACTGAGTAGATATATAACTTCTTAAAGTGAATACTGCAGGAACCATCTGTGTATCCCTACATCATTACAAAAATCTACTTTGATTTTAGAATCACAGATTCATCTAGGTTGGAAATGACCTTATCAAACCTTCTGTTCAAAGCCGGGCCTCAGGGGTTATCTGGGGCCCATTACAAGCCAAGCCATGAACAGCGACACTCCACCACTTTTCTGGGCAACCTATTCCACTGTTTTCCATTTTCCTCACAAGGTAGTGTTTGGGGCTTTTTTTTTTTTTGCTTGCATCCAGATGGAATTTACCCTGAAGCAATTTCTGCCTGTAGCCTTTTGTCCTGCCACCACGCAGCCTTGAGAGGACAGTACTACTGTCTTCTCCATAAATACCTTTTAGATATTGAAAGACCGATTAGATGCCCCCAAGGCTTCTCTTCTCTAGGCTGCACAAAGCCATTTTTCTTCATACAACTTCTCCAAGCCTTTATCACCTTGGTGGCTCTCTGCCAAGCACTCTCCGCTTTTTCAATATGTGTGTTAAACTGCAGAGGACACACTATTCTGGACACAGTATTCCAGGTGTGGCCTAATGAATGCCAAACAGGGTGGAATAATCACATCCCTCAATCTGCTGGCTCCACTCTTGCTGATGCAGCCCAGGACCCAGCTTGCCTGGACTTCACTGCTGCCAAGGCACGCTGCCGACACGTGCTCCGCTGGGATGGTCCCCCAGGTTCTTCTTGGCCAACCCACACCCCAGCTGAGCAGATCCCAGCGTGCTGTACTGCTGCTCGACTTTAATCTATCCCAGGTGCAGGACTCCACATTTACCTTTGCTAAACTTCATGCAACTGTATGTTTTATAAGTTAAAAAAATCATTACGATTTAGGCATGATCTTCTCTCTCTAATGGAAGGGGGGAAAGCATTAAAAATCTGTAAAGTTTAAATAATATTTTAGTTGTGGCACAATCCAAAAGTTAGATGTTTATTTCATGCTAGAGGACTACTTGACTATTTTCCTGGCAATATCTTCAGTTAAAGCTACAGGTGTCAGCCTTCACTCTGAATCACAGCCTTACTGGTACTTATACTGGAAAACATAGAATAAAGGTGGGAATCTTTTGGAATTTTAGAAAAAAGAATGAAGTCCCTTCTGATTTGCCTGTGCTGTTTTTGAGCCCATGAGCTCTATTAATTACTCTGGATAAAATAAACTGTAGTTTTGAAAATAAGGGGTCTTCTATTGGGCTAGCAAAGTGATTTAACTACATGAAATGAAATTGGACACTTCTAGTTCCTCAGAGACCACCTGCAGTGATGTGTACGGAATAAACTCCTAATGCCAAGCTTCTTGTGGAGATACAGGCCACAAGATCCCCAGACATACCTTGTTTTTCACAGGTTCTGTCTTTGCTGGTGTGACTGAAATAATCCTCACAGGATTTTCATCATTTTCACTGACCCCAGTTTCTGATATATCCGAACTTTGTTCCCTGGTAGCATAATTGAAGACAAAATAAAACCAAAATATAAAAAACAGAAGGAGAAAAAGGTTTTCAATTATTTAAAACAATAAAATTAAAAAAAAAAACCAAACAAAAATCAATGCAGATGGGCTAAATTAGTTAAGAAAAGAGTTGATTTGCCTGGGTCCAGACTTACATTTTCTTCCCAGAACAGGGAAAGGTCTGACTGGGTAGTCACTGAGCCAAATCCCTTATCACAGACACAATGCCATACAATTCTTTTTGCAAACTTAAGACGAATGCTCTAAACAAGGTTATGTTCTTTTTTCAGATAGAAAAAGTTGATACTGGCAAAGGTAGTGAAGAAAAAGGAAAGACCAGCAATGTTCAAACTTCGAGTTAATTTACACAAACATACGTAGTTTTAAATACAAAATTATTTTTAAAAAAATCAAGATCATCACATTATATATCATGTACACTTACAGAACAAATTCTTAACTGAGTTATATTTCCCTTTGGCCTTATGAAACGCAGGAACTAGAGCTGACTTTCTCTACTTTCTTTAACCGTTTAGCTTAGCCAGTTAATCAATTCCAAAACAAATTAAACTCTCCTAAAATTTTAAAGTATAAACTGTTTCTCCAGATTTACGACAAATTTAAAAACTCTGGATCCGCATAAGAATAACACTTACTGGAAAAAAGCCCAAATAGTATAATCATACGTTGCTTCTCTCTATCATATATTGCTTCTCTCCACTGAGATGCTAATCCTCCTCAGCAAGCTCTTTTTAATTGTTCCTAATCTTAAATAGGCCAGAATATTTCATCTACTTGTTACCAATCAGGATTAATCCCAATTTGTACATCAAAAATGTGTGAGTTGCAAAATCTGTTTAGTATTAATTATGGCTGTTCTCTTCAATGAATGTTTTCTGATGTAAAAATAGTATGACTATTAACCACCAGAATTTCAGACAGTGCAGTGTCTCTTCTACTGTATTGTGTGTAATTACAGACAGACCACACCTAAACACCACACTGAGGTTCTGTCTACTAAAATAACCTCCAAACAAAAAGCAAAGATGGAGATTTTACCAATACAGAACTATTACACTTTTTAAAAACTGGACAAAGTAAAGGCACTCTTCAAACACACAGGCACACACACCAAATCATCTCCTGTTCTAAACCATGCAAGCACACTGGAGAATGTGAAATAAAAAAGGTCATTGGAAGAAATTTCACACTCCTGTACCTTGATCTGTTTCCTGCAGAAGAGCTCAGCTCGGAGTTTACACTGATATTGCTTCCAGTCTCTGATCCTGTAGTTCTAATATACGGTCTCCTTCCAGTTGCAGATAATGGTTTGTTTACTGTGCCTAATACAGCAGTTGGTTTTGGCTAAAAGAAAGTGTTTAATCTTAAAAATCGAAACTTCAGATACATATTTCATTTTTAAAATATTTTCTTCAGTATTTTAAAACATTTTTTCTGGATGAACAGTCTTAATCACAAAGCCATCAATTTAGAGTACAGACCTCATCTTCACTTAAAAACCACTGTCTATCCTACTTTTACTTCCCATCATTTAACAGCTTCATCAATTGACTTGCTTTCTCTCACACTTTGAAGGGATAGCAGGTAGAGAAGTCCCAATGAAACCCAGAACGTTCGATAGTATTAGAGGACTATATCTGCAAAGCCCAGTGCCTCTGGGGAAGGCTTTCCAACATGAATGCAGAATTAGGTTCACTACAACAATAGAAAATGTATACACTTACTATACAGAAAGCCAACGTAAAAATATTTAACATCACCTATCTATTCTGGGGTTCTCCAGTACGGTGATGGCATTTTAGATCTGGTGTCTGCTGACTGATTTGGTCAGGCTGGGTAGCCAGTAGGAAGTTTTTTAATTTTGTCTCTGGAGAAGTCAAAGAAGTTTTCATAACTGGCACATCACATTCTTCATGTAGTTTTACATTTCCTCAGAGACCAAGTTAATTTATTGAGACATTCTGACATGAAAAATTAATTCCCATGTGCTGAAATTATGAGGGAGCAGACAGGAGAGAGATACCACAGATGCTGGAAAACATTAGGCCAGCAAAAAAGCCAACACTTTTTTTAGAAACAACCTGTTACTGAGCACATGTTCAGGAGCTGCATCATCCTAGAGCTAATACTGCACATTTACTTAAATATATTCTTCCTCAGCAGTAAGTAGCCAGACAGACTCTTCTGGAGCTGGGAAAGTGAAGCAAGGAGAGGCAGGATTCTGCCAAGTGAGCAAACCTCACCCACCTGAGCTGCTCTGATAGCAGAAACTTTTTGTGTAAGTGAAAAATCAGTGTGAGAGGAAGTGATTTTAAATGATAATGGTTATTTACATAGGGATCATTTGTCTCTACCCTTACCATGAACCACAAAGTTCTGCTCTAACTGAAGACTTTTTAAAAACTAATGCAGTACCAGTTCACTGAACACAGAACATGAAAATTAATAAAGGCATGTAAAATTGATATTAAAAACATGATTTTTGCTGTTTTCAGGCTTTTTATATTTTACAGTTCAGCCAGCATTCTTTCACTCAGCTCCAGAAAAAATAAACCCAACACCTTATAATTTGTTTAGCTAGACTAAAAAGCATTCCAACATAATTTAACCAGAGCCTAGGAAAGACAATTTCAGAAGCCCAAGAAAGGACAGCTGATGGGAAAAAGGTATAAAAATAAGTTCCTGGTTTTTATGGGGACTTTTTGTTTGCTTGGGGTTTTTTTGCCTCTCTTCCCCCCACCCTTTGTATTTTCTGTCCCCTGTGAAGGTATTAGCTAAATTATGTCTGAAGTAAAATTAGATGTTCAAAAAGGTGAAGACATTGGCAGTTAAATTTAACAGCATTAACGACTGTATTAAAAATATTAAGATTGAATATTTAAGACCTCCAGTGTTAGTGGTGTCACAATCAAGTATCTGCATCATAACTTTGTGCCGTGCTTATCTGAATAAAGGAAAAACCTGTAGTTATGTGAAAAACTGTAGTTAATTAAGAACCTATGCCTCAGTGCGCAGGCAACAATCTCAATGTTGTGTACTCACCAGGTAGGACGTTATAGGCATTAATTATACCATTAAATAAAAGAAGCACAAAGTATTGTTCACAAATTCTAAATACAATTTTTGAACTACAGCAGTCCAAGACATTTAAAAAAAATTGCAAGCAATATTCAAAGAAATGTAACTTCTCAAAATACAGTACCTTTCCTGTCAAAAGAAGAACCCTTGTCTCTTCTGAAATGTAATTCCTGTCATTGCAGAAATCCTGTATAAAAAATAAAATAAAAATCAGTTTGTGCTTGATCTCTCAATATTGCTGTTGTTTTTTAATATATACATGACTGACGTCCCAAATCAGATGCTACTATCATATGCTACAGATGTGTCACACCACCCAACCTGCTGACAAATGAATCGATCTCCTAAAGACAGGTCAAAATAGTATTTTGAAGGTCTGTAGCAAGCATTACTGAATGACAGCATGCCATACTTGAAGTTGGGATTAACATTTTATCTTCTTGAATGACATGAAACATTTGAAATGAAGCAAAACCGCCCTATTTTTTCACTTGCGTCTTTTTAGTGGAAGTCCAAAAAGAAGAAAAGAGGGGCAGTTTTCTCTAAACAAGTTGAGAGTTGCTACCTGTGTCACTGGCTACAGTTTACACAGACCAAGACACTAAATGTGCATGCAGGTAGCTATCACAGACACCAGCTCCCTCTCACTGTGGCATCTGCCATCTCACAGTTAAATAAGCAAACTCAATTTGGCTTGAACCGACTCTGGAAAGGCTGTTACTTGACAGTCTAAGACACTGAAAAACAAGACACTGAAAAACGTGAGATGTATTCTTCAGTACAACCATCAGGTTTGGATCAGAGAATTACTTTGGTTCCACTGAAACATTTTAGAAGTACGGCTCTTAAAGAGCAGTGCGATGGCTGACAGCAGAGCTGCACTCCCCAATGCACTCACTTGCATACCAAGCCAAACAGCCACTGACACATATAAACATACCACACATAACATAAAAAAATGTTCTCTCTTTCTTTTTTTGTCTGCTTTGCATTCTAACTCAGATATAGTCAAAATACACATATATTCTCACAAATTCAGATGTGCTTGCAAAACACTTCAATGAAACAATCTAGCAAAGCATGCTAACATATCAATGTTTTTCCTAATTAGCTCTCACTTGCTTACAAACATTGCTGGCACACATTTATATGACACAACATACAGCTGATGTTAAAAAAAATTTTGTTGCTGAGGATAAAATATATATGCATTTTCCCACTCATGATATTATGTTACGGAGATAATCAGCTCTCAGTTATGAAATACAAGTACTTCCCCTTATTACTTTGGAAATTAAATTAAGAAATTTACCTTTTCAGGTTGTGTAAAAAATTTGGTTGGCAATACAGGGTCCTTTGGTGAATCTGCATTGCACAAAGCACTTTTGCTGTTGATTACACATAGTGCTACGTCACATACTGTATAAAGTTTCTGAAGAAAAAAAGAAAAGTACGCCTTAGGAATTACTGTTTTTACAGTGTACAGAGAATGTAGTTCTTTAAGTTTAAGCTGTATTTTAAAATAACCACCACTGAGGACATATTTTGTAATTACATCGTTAGCCATACTGTTGGCTCTTCAAACACATGCAGAAGTCCCCATTTTTCACATGATACTATTCAATGAAAATCAGTAATGCTTTACATGCCTATGCTGTACAACAGAAGCACTTGCTCAATCAAATCACCATCAATGGTTTCTCATCTCTGCTAGAAACTGACAGGTTTAACAGTAGCCATATAATACACAATTTCCCCCAACAGCAGAAGGGAAACCAGGCAGTAGGAGTTAAAATAAGGCAGGCAGGCAGGCAGTAACAGGAATATTTAACACATTTTGTTTATTAACTTCATTAGGTATTGTGTGCTGGCTAAGGTCAGCAAGGTTCTGAAAGAATGAGATTGGCAACATACAGACAATGCTCGTAATTAACGCTCTCTCTAAAAGACCATAAAAACGTCTGAGCTAGTGCTTCCAGATTTCCTGCAAATCCTGTTCATCAACTGCTTGTGAAACTCTCAGCCCATCACCCAACACTTATCTGAACTGTATTTCTTACTTCATTGGCCTTTGGCTCATCAGGAGACTGAGCGTCTCGGGTAAGCTTGATATTTTCTGCCATCTTTTTCATGAAGGCATGGCTATTGTTCTCATTCTTGGTCATTAAAACTTCCAGCATGAACCACAGGCACCTAAAAAGCCATAAAACCACAAGCAATTACATTCCAGCTTTTACACTGCAGCTCCCACATCTAGCAATGTCTTAAAATTTTTTGTCTGCTGTACTAGCTTTTTCTTAAGAAACCACAATCAATTTGAAGATATCATAAACATGTAACATCATCTGAAGGTGTAAAAAGAGTCCAGACCTTTAACAAACACACAGTCTTAATCATACGCGTTGGAATAAATCTGTCAAATTATCGTCCTTCTCTATTCTATCTGTAAACACTGGCCAACCAATCAATTCTTCCAAATATGAACAGAAGCAAGAATTCTGGTGCTACCATCATCCACATGAAATTCTGTAATCGCTGCCTTGGGCCATGTCTATACTCCCATCAACAATGTACCATGACCACACTGAAAACAGGCTTAAATAAATCATACTGCTGCTAGACAGTTACCCACACTACAGGGTTTAATAAGAAAATCACAGAGGAGAGGAGATCCAAACCCAAATAGGTCAGATTCTTGCTAATGTTCCATATGGGAGGAGAAGAAATCCTTACAGATAGACATAATGGAATTAGCTTTCCAAGTTTTCTTTCTTTAAATCTAGTTTATTTACAGGGAGAACCCATTATATTTTGACTATAAGTTTGTTTGAAGAATTTTTCAAATATGGTATAAAGCACAACTAGTCTGTCCATGCAATCATTTGCTATCAAGCTTCAGAGCTGCACATGGCTAGAGGGTCAACAACAGTCATAATATGGTAAAATAATACTTAGTTGGGAAAGACATATGGGTGGGTCTGAGAAATGCAAACTTTGCCAGTAGCTAATTTAATTCTGAAGCTCTGGAAGAGAGATTACCTTGTAGAAAGAGGCTAATAAAAACCTAGAAAAACAGGATAACTGAATATTAGAATTCCCTGTCCACAAAAGCCCCAATCTTCTTAACTGATACAAATTAAATATTGTAAGGCAAGAAATGAAGGAACTTTGTTCTCAAAAATTCAAAGGAAAAGAGGGTTGTGCTCCATCAAAACACTTAAATCATTATCTGGTGTTCAAATAAAATATGACATCTATATGCTGTCTTGCATCCAAGAGCTATAAAGTCTATAAGTAAATAAAAGTGTTAGATGCCCTTACATCTATCTATTCACTCTTCTCAAGAACTTAAATGGGATCAATACCGGACTGATAACATAACACACTGATTCAGCTTCTCAAAAACCCTGTATTGTCCAAAGATTACTACTGAGAATCCCAGCTAACACACGTCAACTTCAATAGCTTGATTTCCTCACTAAATCAACAAATTACATAAATATTCATCAACTCTGAACAGGACCTTTCCAGAACAACAGCAGGATTTCGTGTAGGAAAATATGGACCTAATATAACAGTTACATGAAGTAAATTCATACTCTGCATGCATTTCAGTACTTTTGGAATCTGAATTCAGAAGAAAAAGACACTGTCTCAAGATAAAAACCAAACTCAAACCAAATATACCTCTGTAAGACAAGCTTAAAAAACTGCATACGAATAAATATGACAGATTATGGTTAAGGAACTTGCTAAGCATGTATTTACTTTACGTGACTGCATTCAGGCCATGTAAAACCAAGACGAACTAGGGAGACAACTACAAAACACACTGCCAGCCTGATTTTCCAAAGTTTGCAAGCATCTATGTTAACACTTTAAAGTGAACACTACGACTCTCAGAACTCTTGAAAGAAACACTGTATTACATTATATGAGAAAAATGTTTTGCATTTATCTCAGGAGACTCTTCAGAGTAATATTCCTGCCAAAATTCCTGTACAGAGTATTCCTTTGTTTGGAGCAGTCCTCTCTGGCCAGTTCAGCCAGCCTGTGACAAACATGAGGGAGGAAATTTGACAACAAAGGAGAGCTATACAAGGGGCGTCCAAAAAAGCTCTGTGCACTAGAAAGCACTTCTCAGAGAAAGTATTAACTCAACAACTGCGAATCAGAACTTGTTCCATGCATTTTGGATAAAGTACACGCTGGAGAGTGCTTTCAGAGGTTGCCAGGAACAGGGAGTCCTGGGACAAAATGTAGACTTGATGATTAAGTAAGAATCTTCACTGACTCCAGGTTCTGACCAGGTGTGAGTCAAGTAACTCAGAAATCACAACACACTAAGTTTTTAATTTACAGAAAGAATCAGACTTGGACTCTCACGGATGAAGGCGCACAAAGAATTAAGGTGTGAACTGGTCTATTTATGCCCAGAATGAACAGCTTTTCTAATAATGTATATTGTAGTATGTAGTTATAAATGCCTTTGTAATACCAAAACTACATAGGTCACAATTCCAACAAAAATAAATACAAGAAAAAAACCAAAACATTCAAACTAAAGCTGCGGAAGACCCTTTAACAATTTTTAAAAGTGTTAAAATTTATGTATTTTTTAAAAATTCATTACAAGACACAAAGGAATACAGAAGTTATATTTAGGTAGGTCAGACTACTTGAAGCAGGCAAGAAGGTCTCCAATTGGAAACAGTAACACAGTATAAAACAAGCTTCTGTATGACAGGCTTCTACACAAAAATCTGTGCTGAATACATTAAGAAGAACTCAGCCTGCACTGCAGACGTATAGTGCAAGTGGTAAGTCAGCAGTAAACTTAGCAGGAATTCTAGTAGGTTTGAATAGGAGAAAAGGAAAAAAAAGAGTTTCCAGTGAAGCAGGACTCTGACCCAGTATCAGGGGTGTTACATTTTCAAATCTTGGAGAAGCTCTGTATTTTATAAGTTCCAGAATATTTGAACTGACATTACTTGGCATCTCTTCAAGTGTGTTGGGAAATTCCAGACACGTTCCACAAATACAAGAATCTAAAATCATTACTTCAGTTTAAGCTAGACAACTCACTAATTTGGTATACTATGGTGTGACCTACAGGCTACCATTTGGGCTTTCAGAATATGCTGCTAAGAAGTTGTCGATGCCTTCTTCCCCTGTTTGAAGTGTTACACATATCCAAGACTACCATTTTGCAAAATGCTGTTGACAAAGCAATTCCTCTTCCTAATCAGTTTTTTTCCAAGCACAGAAAAATCCTCAGTGTAACAACTCTACAATCATTTGACACTTACTCTTTGACATCACGAAGCTGATCAACATCCTGAGGTTTTGTGAAATCTGGATCATGTGCCAGTAAGTGAATCATATATGGTACCACATATTCAGGCAGCAAGGATAGCAACTTTTCTACAGTAACAAAAAAATCATAGATAACCTCTATATTACACACACCCCTCACAAGAAACACTTTTTCCAAGTATTACTTTTTCAAATATGGAATGTAAAATTTCTGCTTGCATTTTCATTAAAAGTAAAATTTGTAGGAAGAATCATTAAAAATAAACTAATGAGTTTTACTACTACAAAACTGCTTGATCTTATTTCAGAAAGAAGGTCATAAAGTCTAAAATATCAGAAAACAAAATTTGATTTTTTGAGCAAAACAATTACCACATTAACAGCATTGCATTTTACATGTGTAATTCTCAGCAACATACAGAGAAATATTTCCTGGTTTACGCTAATGCTAAGTAAATTTAGATTTGAATGTGTCTAATATAAAGATGAGGAAACAAATTAAATTTACCCAGTGCTTCTTTACAAAAGCAATTTGCTTAAGTTTTAATGACTACTCCTTCCAGTTCAGTATTTGACTATTGTATTCTTAACAATTTTACTGAAATACTAACCGTTAGCCATAGGATTCTGCTTAATATATTCTCTTCGTATACTGATGTTTTTGAGCAAGCACTGTCTGGCATGTGCTCTTCGCTCTTTCACAGGGTCTTTGGCACACAAAGCAAAGATTGCCATATATTCCAAAGGGAGCAGTAACTTCACAAGTGCCTTATGCAGTTTCTGGGCAAATATCTGCCTCACTTGGTAGCACTCATCCTACAGCAACGTAAAACATAAGAATGCAACCATAAAAATCTTGGTCGTTTAAAAAAAAAAAAAAGAAAAAGGCATTCAAGGTGGAATTATGAGGAGAGACATTTCAAAAATATCAACAGCCGCAGCACAATAAATAATTGCAATTTCAAGAGCTCTTTTGAAAGTTGCAGTGAGAAAAAGAAAATACTCGATGTAGCAGCAACAAAGCTCAGATGCAAGGACTCTGAACTCAATTAATTAGAAGCCACCAGTTCAAATGCAGTTACTTACATTAATGACAAGTGCACAGAGCTGGAACTGTTCTGGGGTAATTATTTCATGGTAACAGGGTTCCTGTGCAAGCTTCATTATTGCACTACCAGCAGCTAATCGCAGTCGAGACATATCCGATTTACTAAACATGAGAGAAGAAAAAAACAAATAACACAACTCACCACAACTATCCTTAAATTACCTGTATGTCACAATTTCTTCTTTTTACAAGACCGATGAGCAATTAAGGTTTTTCTCTGTCAGATCAGACCACAGTTCTATAGCTTTTAGTTCAACCCAACCAAATTTGTGAAAATAAAGTGCTTTGCCTTCCCCCCAAAAAACTCAACTCCAGTAAAATAGTGAAATGAGAGTCAAGTTTCTTGCTTTCATATCACTGTCTAAATGAAAGCAACACTTTTGCCACAGCTTTTCTCTTTCCTTTGTACACCCTCAGAATGAAGATGAGATGCAAAGTTACCTCACTGTTGGAATGAAAAAGCTCCACCCAACATCACCCGACTCTTAAGCGTGTTAAATCTCATCACTCATCTGTCTTCAAAGATACTCCCCCTTGGTCTTTTATTCTCTAGAATGTCTTTTAACATCAAGAACTTTACAGGGTTCTGAGTGAGATTATTAGTAAATTACAAGAAAGTGGGGAGTGTCAAGCATATTTTCATACTGCCATTCCACTCCTAATATTAAAACTCCAATCAGATCTGTTTTCTATCATCCCATTACTGATGTTGTGCTCACCTTAAAATTCTTAAAAAAGCTCCAAAAGAATTCGCATTCTTTGAAATTTTACAACAAAATTGGTGGAGGCCTGAAAGGAACAAAATCTGACCTGATTCGCTTCTGTTCTGTCAAGTCTCCTTCACTGACAAGCATCGCTGACAATAACCGGAGTGTGGAATTGGCGGATTTCGACTGGTTGTTTTTCATACCCAACAGCCAGCGTACCAAAAGTTTAATTGCTTGCACCTATCAAACATGAACAGATCAACAGTGAACTTACTTCCTAACACTGATAAGGCACTAAAACCTACTGCTGTCAAACTGAAATTTCCATTGACTCCTATTTATTAGAGATGATAAATTTTTAAAGGAACAGAATGAAGCAGTAAATATTTACAGAGTGAAGAAGGAAGTAGCAGTCTTTGTGACATCGGGGCATTTCAACTACGGCTCAGTGTCTTCTCACAAGTGCATCTAGAGGATGCAGGATACTTGCTACATGATTAAAAATAAGAGCAACTAGATAAACATTTCTAGAAATGGCTGTAATTAGATTCACAGTAAATAGCCTTAAAGATGAATGAATAAAATTCATCAGGGTCTCAGTTTACTTCAAATCTGTTTACATTCAGTAAAGTCAAAGTACCTTTCTTGTAAGAAAAGCTAAAGCTTTTGAATCTCTTAATTTTCTCAACATTCAGCATAATTACTGTCGGTAAGTGAAGACACCAAAATGCACAGTTTTTACCAGTTCTATAACTGTATGTATAATCCATAAAAACTCTAGAATGCTGCATATTCTAAGGAGACTAATACAAAAGCACTCAAAGGTATTTATTCTAATATTCTCCATTGTACAACTTGGAAAAAAGTAAATTTTTAATCTCAAATGTACACATTATTACTGACAGCAGATCATTCACCTTTGCCAGTACTTCTGGAGAAACTTCTTCATCTGGAGACCACAATTTTCCATTTTTCTCACCTGTTGACTACAGAAATTCATGTAAGTTTAAGAACTGGTTCAACCCATATAGAAAATGCAGAAGTAAAAATGGAAAAAAATCATGGACTAAGCTTTCTTTCACACACAGATCTTTTCTACTGCACTTATCATTGTAATAGCCATTTACAGAATGTTCCTTTATTGACTCATTTAACAAAAAAGCTCTATTCCCCCCCCCCAAGTTAATAACACACAAATAGAACGGCAAGGACTCACCAAAAAAAGAAAGTCTTACCCTGTCATTCATTAGGAGATCTTTCACAATGAAATTTGCAACAACAGATTTCATTGGAGAAGCAAACTGGTCTGGAGCCAACATAGAAATATGACCCAATGAGACTAATGGAGTTATAAGTTGTTCTGGTACATCAGCATTCAAACTTCTACTAAGAGGCTGAGGAAGGAAAAAAAAGTAATTAAAAATTAAACTATGTAAGTAAGCTAGCATGCTTAAAACCCATTTATTTTACAGCTGGATTGCTGACGAGTTTCACAGTTTTTCCGTAAGAATTAATACAGTTATAAAATCAAAATGGGGAATGGATGTGATTTCTTAATTAGCAGAGCAACCAAAAATCTCAGATGAGATAAGGGCAAAACAAACTTTATATTCTCTTCCTGTTTAACAGTGAAACACATTCGAACCTGGGAGACAAAGAAAAAATTCTGACTCAATTCTACTCAGTAGTTGTGAAAACCTGAATCCTAACTGCAAATGGCAGAAAATAATAGCACGTAAAAAAACCCTTGGAAACCACCAGGGACATTTGTATCAGCGATCAGGATTTCCCTTCCAGGTAACAGTCACCAGGATAATTCCATGCTGCTGTATCACCCAGCACCCTCACGTCGTATTCTGGTGTTAGGGAGGGAACAGGCACCCTCTCACAGAAGTCTAAGCAGAGATCAAACTCCCTAAGCTTAATTCAAAGCTTTTCACACTCTTGAATTATGCATAGGTTCAAAGACAGCCAAGATTAAGAACCTAAGATATTTTACAAGTGCAGATTAATAATGTTATTATTTAAGAGATTACAGTGAAAAGTAATAACCTCTCTGCTCTGCATAAGGTGACTTTTTGCTTTACAACTTGTCTAAGCAAGCAGTAAGCTAATGTCTGAGCTTACAGTCAAGTAGTTACTCTGCACCAACTTCCTTAGTGAGAAAGACCTTGGAGCACGTTAACTTAATACATTCTGAAAGTAGAGGATGTTATCTCTCATTTAGTATCTGCTAAATGTGTCCTCATGGGACTTAGTGTGGATCATTCCAGCATATTTTCCCCTAACTTCTTCTGTGTAGACAAAAAGGAATACCATATCTATCAGACACCAGAATATTACAATATTATGACTGTAAGACACAAACATTAAAAATTCGCTATTGTAAAATTAATGACTTGTCTCGACTACCATGCACCTGTAGGCTTCCTGACCTCATAAATTGTTATCTGTTAATAAACAGTACCAATTAAGTTTGTTAATTACCAGTATCAATTAAGAAAAACAGAAACAAATCTTAAAAACTGAAAAGAAAGACATACCTCAAAGATCTGTGCAAGTTGCACTTCTTTATTTGAAAATATGGCATGTATACAGTGAACAGCTTGTTTTGCCTGATGAGGAGTCCCTCTTTTTGCTTTCTGATGCAAAATCGGAATTAGTGTTCTGTGAAAATTAAACAAGATACTTCAAAATGCAATTTGCAATCTACAAAAAATAAAGCTCTTCACCTATACAAATCTATCCTCACAATTTTATAAATCACGCATTCCTTTGAAGTCAGTTCAGGAAAGATCATAATCATAAAGTGAAAAGCAGGATGGAATTGTATTTAGTAATACTTGTTGAACGTCTGGCTGTACACAGTTAAGCAGAAAAAAACCCACAGGGAAAAAAATCAAACATGAAAGAAAACAATGATCAAAATAGGGATGTTTAGGAAGCCAAATATAAGGTGGGGGGAACCCGACAGGTTCAGCTGGGGTAAACTCCTAAGTTTCTTATCCAAGCTTGGTAGTGACAAGGCTGAAGAAACATCATGAAAGCTAGGCAGAGCCTTTTGACATCAGTGTGTTCATAGGCTTTTACTGCTTCAACTTTCATCTTTAATCACAACGTATATTCAAGCAAACAACAGCTTTGTTCTGAGCTTTTGCATTTGATTCCCCTGAAGTCTATCTTCTTATCAGAGCCCACTGAAGGAAAGAGCAGGGCAGAATCCTCCCTAGAGACCAGGTGGAGGTTGGTCAGACAGTTCAGTTCTGCTCCTGAGAGTGTGCTCAGGAGACACTTCCTGAGACAATTCCTGAGACACTAACTCATGAGGTTTACCACACACGAGAAAATTGCCTAGAAAGCGTCTGACACAGAAACATCTAAAAAAGAAAATTTCTTACTTTGCTGAAAGGCTCAGTAACAACCCAGCATTCAGTACATGGATTATTTACCACCCAGCCTTCACTGACACATTCTACATAATCAAAATCAGCAACAAGACGTGCAAGAAGAGCTTGCAGGGTTGACAGAACGAAGTCTCAAACTCTTTCCTCAAAAACCACACAAAACTGAAAACCAAACAAAAGACCTCTAGAAAATGTTAGTAGTACCCTAAAGTAGGAGAACGTCTCTTCTCAAACCTGCTAAGATTCCACAAGTTGGATGAAAAACAAAGCAAAATAGCATAGAATTCAGTAAAATCCACAGTTAAAACAAGCTTCAACACCTAACCTAGTTTTCATAGGGTAAGTACGTGCATATTGAAGGGCCTTTGCCAAGTGTTGGTGCACCAGTTACAAACCTCATCACACCCCAGCTGACAGTGTTTACAAGCACCTTTACACGTTTACATGTGGTCCCCTGGCTCTCTTTAGAGTCTGACAGAAGCTTTGGCCACGCTCAGAGTCATACAGTCCTTCCCATGAAATGCTGTGCTGCACAAACCTACTTGTTTTCCATACGAGGAAGAGCTTGGGCTACTGCTGGTGAGAATAACTTTGGTGGGCAGCAGGCAGCCTGCTCGCACAAGAGGTTTTTAAAACAAAACCAAAACCAAACAGGTCACTTGAAACAAACTGCCTTGCTGATTTCATCAAATCTTTTGTTTATTATAAAGATTTCTGAATATATGAAACCTGGAACATCTACTTGTCCTCAGATTTCTTTTTCTTTGTGTCAGTGTAAACACTGACCTGGTATTGCCTTTCAGAACGTTAACCTGACTGGCTTGCAAACCATGCCAAAAGGCTATCTCCATTTTGACAGTTATATTTTTAACTCCTTTGAGACTGCCTAGACTATACTTCAGCAATACCTGGCTAAGGCATGAAACCAAAAGACATGTCAGCAATACCAGCTCCTTTGACAGAAGATGATATACCCCAGCAATGTCAGTCTTGACCAAACTCTGGTAGGGAACTATGTGAACAATGCGGATTGCTGGGCTTTTCCTTCTCTTCACCCCTACAAATGTCTCAAAAGCCATCTCAGATGTGAACTTGTAATGTTTTTCTTTTTGCCCAAGATCTGATTCAAATCCGTAAGAATTCCTGAGGTTACACCTTCAATTCACTGAGAACTTATGGTGTACAATGGTATATATTTTAGCATGGCAATACCTGAGATGCTACTTCACTATATGAGAACTTGAAACCTGTGCTATATAATCTGGATTAGTTAGTCACTAATAGGCTAATTTTAAGGTTTTAAATGTTACCCACAAGGATTTAAATAGTCTGTGAATACCTAGTAGATTATGCAGCTTTAATCAGCAGTTAAACTATGAATTGCATAATGATGACTTATAGACGGCCAATTATTCTTTGTTAGAAATTCATGCCTGCTTTTGGATCTTGTTTCCCAACTTGTTTCATAACAAACAGAGCTGTTAACCACCAGAGTTTATCTTTTCGTTCCTTACAAAGATAGAAAGATTGTGTGAGGGACAGATATAAGTAGAAACGATGCCAAGTAATTACATCTTTGCCATATTTTTGCTGTTGCTTATTTTGTAACCTGGGAAACACGATACACACTATTAAATCTAAGTACCTAACATCTTCAATAAATACACAAAAATTGTGACAATTCAGAATTTCAAATGAAGAGACAGAGGCAGTAAGGTAGTGAAGGAATACAAAATGATGGAATAGAAGCTGTTCATATTTAAAAAGACTATAAAGTAATTTTAGGGGCAAAATATGAAGGAAACTATCAAGAGGCAGAATTCCAGTTATGAAAAGCAGCATGTAAAGAAATACACTCACGATCGTATCTGTGGCAGGTCTGTTTCTATTTTGTGACCCGTGTTTCTGAAGATCTGTATGGCTGCCTCAGCTACCTTGTCATCTTCCATCCTGAGGCACTGCAGCAGAGACTCATAGGTCTCTGCAGAGTGGAACGAGGTAGGATGTGTAAAGGACAGAACCTGTAGACACATATTAAAACAAAGATATATTTATTCATGTTAAACAAATCATCAGCAAAACAAAATTATGACTGTTTATGAGCATTACCATCAACACAAATAGTTATTACATGCTCATACAAGATTATTGCATTCAATAGCTGCATTTTGGAGAAGGTGATACAGACATTTTCAAATAAATTCATCTATGCTTTGTTCTTCAGGTCCTCACCTCCTCCAAATATTTTGTAAGATACTGCATTATTTGAACATGTAAACATATTTATTGAAAGGAACACTTATTCAGGAGTATTCATTTATATTCCAACCTACTTAAGAACGCTTTTTTTCAACTTAACAGAACCAAAATCTTAATTTCTCTAGAATCCCTGAGCAGAAAAGACATCAACAAGGTTAAGATATCTACAAACAAAACATAGATTACTGTCCTTTTCATCTAAAGCTACTGGAATGTAACACATTGTGTTGAATAGGGGAAACATTAAATAATAAACTAAGCATGCAGGGATTCAAGGCAGGACACGAGAGAACAAAAGGTTATCCCAAAGCAAAGCTATATTAAGTAAAGTTCAGACAACATAGGGTAGGGAGAACAATGAAAAGTTGCAAGTATTTTGTGTATTTTTTGCATTTATCTTATCTTAGTTTCTTTGATCAGAGTTGCCTACTTGCATGAGTATCAATGAGTGAAATAACATTCTCAAAGTTATCCATGTCACAGCAACAAAATTTTCAACCTTGGCAGATTTCTTTTCTGAGCTACATGAGCAAACAGATACTACTTCCTCGCATACTTCTATGTAACTATTTCTGCCATGGCTGCCATTACCAAATTTGGTGACATGTCTCCATAAACTCCACCTCGTTCATTCACACCTCAGAAAAGTCTCACTTTAATTATGTTACCTTTCCCTCCATTCCCTTATGTAAGATGTTCGAAATAAAGTCTCATTAGTCAACTGCTAAATCCATCACAGATGTTTTCCAGATATTTCAAATCATTCTTTCTTCCCCAGCCTTTTCTCATCACTAGTGAGAATACAAGTTCCCTGTCCCCTTTTTTATCTCTATGTAACTTGGCTCTAATTCATATTGCTTGCTTTCCTTTCAGTATCAAACAGGCTTCAAAGAATGTGCCTCTCCTAATTTCTCCACTTCTCTTCCTCTCACTTTAGCTTTGCACCACCTTCTGTATGACTTCCCTAAGCAGAAACCAATTTCTGCTTTAATATGCATATTTCAACTCTTGGCACCCTTTACAAAACATTCTTATTCCAAAACCCCATCTCTTTTATTATTCTTTTCCCAAGTGAGTATTAATAACCAAACAATTTCATACATTAAAAAAGTAATTATCTAAATAATAACTATTAAAACCATGCGAAGGTTTGTTTGCTAGTCATGTAACTTTTGTCCCTTCATTATGAACTAGAGCTGCTTTAATGTAGATTACCTTGAGAAGTTCAAGTCCTGCACGAATAGCAGTATCAGGACTTACACCCTCCTCTTCATCATCAGCTGTCCCCTCTATGGATTTATTCATTAGTTTTACTAGTGCACTGAAACAACAGATACAAAAAGGAAAAAAGCAAATGAATGTGACAATGTACAATGACAAAGGTTGGAAATATCAGCAAGATTACTTATTTTTGACAATAAATAACTGGAAACCAATAGTCCATTGTGGGGGGAGGTGGTGTGTTTTGTGTTTGGTTGTGGTGTTTGGGTTTAGTTTAGATTTTTTTTTTTAAATCAAGCTATTCCATTACTCCTTTTCCTTCTGACTTAGCTCTCTGCAAAATTAATTCTTTAGGGGGAAAAAAAAAAACAACAATGAAAACCCCCACCATGTTGGAAGGATTCAGATCAACACATAGTTGCATGAGTTTCAGACTGTAATTAGGTTGCCAGACAAGTCTCAAAAGAAATCCAAACATTCTCTTACACAATCCCACAAACGCTAATTAATTCAACTGCTATGTGGAAGGCTGTGTTGCAGTTAACTACGTGAAAATAATGATCATCATTTTCACCTTAAGCTTCACAAATAGCAGTTTCACCAGAAACAACTACTATATATTTAAAATCATTTGCAGACAGCTCTGCAAAGAAGTAGCCAAAAAAAAAAAATAAATCCAACTGCATTGTCTAGGATGCCAGAAATGAAAAGGAAGACATCTACATAAAATGTTTGGGGCTTTTTTTTCTTTTTTTTTAAAAAAAAAGAGCATATTTACTGCTAGAACAGACCAATCTAAATTCCAAGAATGTTTTTTTTGGGGGGGGCATTTAAATCATCTTTATAATAATTCAAAAATTAGCATGATCTTTCCGACTTACCTAATGGCTTCTGAGTCAATATGTACAGGGGCAATTCTTTCTAGAAGAAATTTAACCATTTCCAGAAAAGGATTTGTTGGCTGCTTAGGATTTGCAAGTTTCCGGGCTATCTCCCTCTACAAGAATGTTAGATACAAACAAGAATTACACTCATTTTTACTTACTTCTTAAGCATGTTGAATAAGCTAAACATAGCACTTCTTTTAGCCACAGAGATTGTCTATATAATCAGTGACACATATCTTAAGGGGGGGCTGTTTTTATCTCCAAATCTTTGTCACAATGTATTGAAAGCAGACATACTTTACCAAATTTTATTTAAATGTAAGATGTATTTAGGTTTATAGCGAAAGTTCTTCAGAGTTTCTTAAGGAACTGCAGACCAGATCCAAAACAGAATCAAGGGAGAGCTAAGTGCAACGTAGACAGAATTTAAATATCTATTTTGACAAAAATAATCCATAAAGCCATAGGTAACCTATGTATGAGATTTCATAAGCAACAACAAAAAAATTTGCACTAAAAGCTACACAACTGCAGATGTGCAGAAGCACTACACTACCTTGGCTACCACAGATATTTAGATCCTATGTACTTGCCATTGAATGTTTTGTATCCAAAACGCTTGTTTTTCCCCTCTGAATGCCCCAAATGTCAAGAACATTAAATTCAGCTGCAAACCCATTAGTAGGTGGATAAGAAGCTATTTTTTGTTTTGAATAGCTGTCTAAAAATCTCTTGAAGAAATTACTTCTTGGCCTCACTTTCCTAAAGGGTTGGATTGCTGCAGACCCTACACACTAGGAAATTGTTCTGTTATGCTAATTTATTTTCAGAAAAAGGGAAGAAACCTCGCTCTTGAAATTGCATCACTGCATTCTCAAAGTGCAAAATTTACTAGTTTAGGAGGAGACATCAAGTGGTTAGTGCATAATTCTGAAGGCCATTCTGTTCTCTTCCCTGGACAATTTCAGAGTCATTAGATAAAACCCAAGAAGTCTATGTTTCTTTGTTGATGCTCTCTATTGTGATTTCTGTCATCAAAATTACTTACTTTATTTTGGAACCACAATGAAAAAAAAATAATCTGTGATTGTTAGCACAATCTGTAAATCTCTGGAAAAGTCTGATTTAATATTAAGGTGTTCATCAAAGAAGTTAAATAGGTAAGAGAGAGAGAGAAAGAGAGAGAGAAAAACTGATCTCAAAATAACGTACTAGGAAGAAAAATAAATGAATAATATGCAGACAGTATAATGTTTGGCTTGCTGGTACTCAGAAAAAGTTTCATCAGTGTCAGAAGACAGTTTAAGAAGCTCACCATAAAAGAGATACTTGAAATAAAATATTTTTTTAAAAAATTAAATTAGTCTTTTAGACTTTACACTTGATGCTCCTAACTCCAGGAAGGAATAAAACAGATGTTTTCTTAGGAAGTAAAATGATGATGAAAAATTATATTTTCCATAATCTCTACAGTTTAACCAAAAAAGTATTTTATGAAAATCAGAAATATATAAAAATCATGTCAAGGTACCAAAAGAGATTATTAACTCCAAATAACTGTTTTAAGCACAAATATTTAAGTTATAAAAGTTTGCTTTTCCGTTTCCTTACCACACAGACATCTGCCTGTTTACAAGAACATGTAGGGCTTATTAACAGCTCAAGCTGAGACCGAAGTTTCTCATCATCACCCAGAACCTGATTGAATTTCTTCACAAAATCTTGTGCTTTTCCAGGATCTGGAAGATTTTCTATATGATTAAACACAATTTAAGATAAGATAAATTTGCCACTTGAGTATGTCAAGTTTCACAGAAGAACAACTTCCAGAAAAGCCATAGTAACAGTTTATAGAACTTATTAACACTTACTTGCTATGGTCATCAGCTTTCCAAACATGGCAGCGCTGTTTGCTTCTGACTGAGGACAACAGCAAAAACAAACAAACAAATCAGTGATGCCTCCTTTATAAAATTTATCTTTAAGCTGACCTGTTAGTTCTTCTGCAGTACTTAATTCTACTCTGCAATCTTACGTTTTATGTTTTTGTTTTATGAATAAACACTAGAATAGTATATATAACAGTATTATTAGCCACTACTACATGTAGAAAAAGGAGGAAAAAAAATCTTCTTGCAATATCAAAGAACTGGAGAGATTCACTAATTCACATAACAGATCAAAATCAATTGTTGGAAAAAGACCTCAAAAAAAGCCCCAAACAAACAATTCTCCCAAGCCCACCCCTGCACCAAAACTCCAACGCAATGCCCTTTTATTTAAAGTTTCTGCTAGTTTGAAAATGCGCTTATAGTAAAATTCCAGTATAAATATCTAACAACTTGTTTTCAAACAAATAATTGCTTTATGTTAGAACAGATTTCATTCTCAAAATATGTTATAAAATGAGAAATAAAAAAGCTCTGTCAAAAGGAAACAAAAAAAGATGGATTTTTTTTTTTGTTTCCAAAGACATTGACCAGTAATATAAAATAATGGTAAACGTAAGGAGGTCATATACTTTTAAGCATTACTGAAAGCAACTTTACTTAATGAGAAAGGAACACTGTCCACATATGGAAATCAAGATAATAAAGTCACACTGAATACATAATACAATATTAAAAGAGCCCCAGTAAATTAGTCTAACAGATCCATTGGATAAAGTATTAATATTTTCAAAACCGTACAGTGGGCTGCTTATGCAAGTCTAGTAATTCTCGTACGTGACTCCTTAGCATGTTCTGGCACTTCCACATCTCATTCAGTGCTCTGCAAAAGTTGAAAAACCAGAAAAGAAAAGCTTACCAATTTGTTCATGACAAGAACATGCTGCATGTGTTTGTAAATGAGATTATTTATTTCTCTTACAAGTGCAACATCTGCTAGGTATAATCAAAACCTACCAAGTATTAAAAAATAACCATTCCAAATAAGGTGGAACTGATTTTCTCTTTTTACATAACATCACCTCTCTTAATATACTATTTGGAGAAATTTCACACGTGCAGGACAGCCACAGTATGTCTTATGACCACACTAATTATCTTGAAAATAACATTTTCAAAATAAAAAACAGGCTACTATCAACCAGCATTCAGTTATAGGTATCTTCATCATGGATCTAATGTAGATCGAATCTAGAAGTCATTACTTGCACATTTTTAACTCTTCATTGTTCTCGTTGGATGAAAATGAATGGATAAAACCACTCTCCTCAAATATCCAAGTATCTTTTTGTCTAATGGACATGTAAACTTTGTACATAAAAGGGAAATGTTTTGAAATACTACTTGCAAATAGCACTAAACATCAATTACTTATATTTTTATTTAAATTTTGACAATACAAGTAGGATGATATAGAAAAGTAGGATTGGAAAAGCCTGAGAAAGCAGGTATTTGCTGAATACAAGCTATACTCACTTGACAGCATTTGGATCCAAGCTGGCATACAAATAGTACAAGCACTTCATTCGCTCTTCTGTTTCCAAATTGTGTGGAACGAGATACTGAGCAAAGATTTTCTCTACCAGTAATCTGCAGAAAACAAAGAGAGAAAACTTGCACATTTCCAAAAATGGTGATACCCTTCAGAGAAGCTGAAAGAACAAGAAATATTGGACGTCATTGAAACTAGATTTTTCAACTGAGAATAAAAAATAATGCTCTCTTTCTCATATGTAAAGATTCCTTCCACTGTTGATAGAAAGATTAGCAAGAACTGCTTTTCCATGTTCTTTCATTTTCACCTCTAAGATGGAGTAATTGCTTTATTAGTCACCATCCAAATTCTCCTTTTTCTTTAGGCTCTAAGAATCTCCCTTTGTTCACTCTCATACATAAGAGAAAGGGATACAGAGAGTAAAAAGCCCAAATAAAGAAGAAAGAATACAAGAATATAACTCAAGGGGAAGGAAAAGTAAAAATCTGAAGTATCCTTGAGGGAAATAACATGGAACACAGAAGCTAAATATACAGCTCATATAGAATTATATTATTAAATTAGCTTTATATAGCTAATATAGAATCTAAAAATCAACATTTAAAAGGTGGAGATAAAGGAACACCAGAACATATACAACAAAACGAGCAAAAAGGAAACTAAGTGAGAGCAAACCAAAGCAGCAAAGCCATTCTCCAATCATCTCTTTTTTAAAAAAAACAGTTAAGGTTTGACACAGAATACAAAACTTGAACTACAAAATATGACTGCACAGTTAGTCTAGTTATAGCCCCCCAAATGAAGGAACATTCAGACACTAATTTATTCCATAGCAATGAGAACTGTGCACTATGTCCAGCTATACAATTTGATATTTATGGACAAGTATTTTGTGTGTTTGAATTTACAAACTGAGTCACTTCCTAGTAAGCACCCTGGGAGTGCCTCATAGAAAGAGCATAGAAGGCAGTGCAGGTCCAACACACCGTATTTCTGCACAAAGAGAATTCCAAGAGACATGATGGCAAGGCACAAGAGTAAAAGGATGATCATGAATATTGGATACAACTATCTCAAGGCCCACGATAATATTAAAAGAAAATTTGATGAAGTACTGATGACTCCAAGAACTAAATTACTTGGAGTACAGAATCTTCAGATCTCAGGGGAACCCATCTCTGTTTAACATACTGGGAGACTGGAGGCATCAGAGTTATCTTACTAATTTATGAACACTGCTCTAGCCCATGTCTCTACAGATACACATTCTAGCAAAGCTGTCAACACAAATGGTGAGAATCTATCATGCCTTCCCCGGTCCACGTCAGTTAGGGTAAAGATTTACAAATACAGAACACCTCTGGGACACACTTCTACCCTGTGGGGAAAGTCACTGGTAACATATCAAAAGCGGGTAACAGGGCAACGTTTAAGATGTGGTTATTTTAATCCATTCCCGAGGCATCTGCTGTAAAACAAAGGAGCTCAGAGCACACAGGTGATAAGCAGTTCTTACAGTTAGAAGTTCTCAGTCTTGAGTAGACATGCACATCATTAGTCACGTAACATCAAAAACATTATCAAGTGACTGAGTTAAGGATGTGTGGAGAAAATTTGTACTACTCCACTTCATGCCTGAATACTGTGTGATACTGCACTATTGTCCTTTGAAAGAACTACTGTTAATCCCATGCACCAAATGGAAAATAGTCCACATCTCAGAATGCTGTTCACTCTTACTTTTTATCCTTCTCCCTCATTATGGAAAGAAAACAGGCCAGAGTTGGCTAATTTTGACCTATGCTTGTGTGTTTAAAGGACTGGATGGACTCTGTCTTATAGACCATAGCATTTCTACAGCTCTGCAGGTGCTACAAATACTAACTTTCTAATTCTGACAATGGTAACACTGAAATGCATTTATTCCTCTTCTCTGATGGGGAAACCAACACAATAGTGTGACTGAGCCAGAACTTCATTGTCAGCCTTAAAAACTACTGTAATTGGGAATGAAATTCAGGATACCAAACTGAACTAGAGGAACACTGAAAATCAAACCATCGATCTTTCAGCGTGGACACCCTGAAAACAAACAGCATACAATCCATGCCTACTCATGAAAAGGCCAGTTTCAATGGTTTAATCAGACTTTCAGAAGAAATCTCTCCAGAGAAAGAAACTTGGCTTTGATGACACACCCTTTCCTTAAAATTCCTTGCCTTGTTTACCCGACAGTGTTCTGCATTTCCCACGAGCAGGAATACTGAAAACATCTGTCCCATTCACTATGGAACTTTAATTCATTCCCTGCTCACTGTCAAACCTGTGTACTGGCAGTGAGACATCAACATGCTAGAAAAAACACAAATGAACCTCTCAATGCAAATTTAAGCATAATTGACGCACATACACAGGCAAAATTAGCTTTGTATAACCTATGTGGAGATTAGCTGATTTTTCACTATTTGATACTTCTACCTCAGCAGACTTTCTGTGTAATTCTGTGCATAAAATCTTTCTTCTTTTTTTTAGGTAAATAAGGCAACTAATCAAATAGGTAACTCTGTCCCACTTATTATCAGCCAGATGAACAAAGTGAGAGCCTTCACCACTGCAGTGGTAAGAATTCACTATCATAACTGGCAACTGAAGGAGTTTATTAGCCCATTCAGACTAGTCACTACGATCACGAACCATACTGAGATAGCAGACTATATAAGCAAGATGCTAAGAACCATTATAAATAAATGGCTCAGTTCAACCTGCTGTACTAAAAAGCTAGGCTGACATTCTATATGTGACCTCATAGAATGGTATGGGTTGGAACGGACCTTAAAGATACACAACTTCTCTGGGCAACCTGTTCCAGTGCCTCACCACCCTCACTGTAAAGAATTTCTTTCTATTATCTGATCTACATCTCCTCTCTTCCAATTTAAACCGTTACCCCTTGTCCTTTCACTACACTTCCTGACAGAGAGTCCCTCTCCGCCTCTCCTGTAGGCACCCTTCAGATATTGAAAGGCTGCTATAAGGTCTCCCCAGAGCCTTCTCTTCTCCTGCTGAAGTTCGGCTTTCCTTGTGAAAGACAAAGAATTACTGTGGTGCGTACATGCATGATGCTCACAGATCATGGATTTTAATATGCTAGCCTCTGAAAAGTTCTAAGGCAAACAAGAAACAGGTATAGTAAATGCATAATTTGACATTTTTTTCCTATGGTTAGTTAATGACAATCACCACAGAACTAGTTCCATCAATAAACAGAATGAATACATGAACAGATAATGCAACCACACTTAACAATCATTAGCACGTGCACTAAGATATTCATTAAATATATCATACTTAAAATCACAAATACAGAATGTGATATAACAGCTTTCTCAGGATAAGCACATACATTCAGAGTATCTCTTATCACTATACAATTAAAATTTGGAAGGCTTAGGTTGACTCACTTGTCATCAATGCTATTTTGATAATATATGTGCAAAAGTTTGTCCTTTATCCAGCTCACTTTCTCTGCAGCATCTTTTCCAGCCTCGGCATGAAGACAATACTTCTTGTATAGCTGGGCAAGACCCATCATAGCTTCTTTTCTTACTCGCCACTTGAGGAGGAAAAAAAATGAAAAGGAAGTGGGGAAATGGTTTTGGTAAATAAATATCAAACACATGCAAAATACAGTACAAGTGTAGAAGCGTGCAAGACAAAATGGCCACATTCTGATCTCCTACATTTAGACACTTCAAAAGCTGAAAAACACTGTTTAGAGCCTCCAAATGAGAATTTGCAAAGCCTACGTAAGGGGTTTCTTCCCTGTAGTATCTAGATTAAGTATTGTCTGTGCAGAGGAATCCATTTCTCCTCTGGGGAAAATCTGGGAGCTAGTCAGTATAAAGAAGTTAAGTACAGCTTAACATGTATGCCTGAACAAGTGCCTTCTTAAGCCAGGATTTGGAAGACTTATCTATTTGGAGACAGGCAACAATCAGAGGCGGCAGAATTTTATCTCCCCATAGCCTTACACTGTCTTAACAGCACACTTGTCTAGAAATGGGAGATCTGGAGCTTAGGCCTAGCTAGACCTGCCAGGGCTTGAGCTCTTAGGCCACTTTCCAGGAAAGCAGGAGAGACTCTTTTTGCTGAAGTCTCCAACTAATCGCTGTAAGACTCCAGGGATCCAGGAAAAAGCCAGACTACAACAATTGCAGATGGAGTTCCTGGGTTCTTATCCTTGCTTTTAGTGGTCACTACTTTATCCCCCCATGTAAACAGGAAATGTCCCATTTTTAAACGATTTAACAGAGAAGATCTGTAAGCTCTCCTATGCTGACTTGTGGAAGGAATCATACCAGAACAGATGAGGATTAATTTAGAGAGAATAGTCAGTGTCTCCCACAGCCTCAGAAGAAACTTGTTTTCCCTCACCTTTAAAAGAAATGCATGAAATTCAAACGGAAAGAGATAATTTACAAAACACACTAGATACCAATTTTGGCCTTGAGCTCCAAAGACTAACTGCTCAAATCATTTAACTCTATCAAGCATAAACATAGTATCATTCACACTGCGGATAACTTCTTCAGTCTTGTTAAAGCGAGGGCTTGCTTTAGTAACACCGAGATATTGCGCATTTAATTTCTTAATAGTTTTACTGAGTTAGTTCCTTTACTTGAAGGGCAAAGAAAAAAATCTTGACTGTATGGTTTATGTCAGCACAACAGCCTTAGACACCACTAGTTGCTGGAGTAAGTTATATCAAGAAGAAGATGGAAAAATAAAATTGTATTTTCTTACATATTTCTGAAATATTAAAAACACATGTAACAGGTCAAGATAGTAATGACTTTGACAGTACATAGTATGCTACTTTGCTTTCACAAAAGAGAAAAATTTTGATATAAATTGATGTTATAGTTTAACTTCCCTGTAGGAATTCGTTCACATCCATTGCAATTTAAAGCACATTTTAAAGAAAATAAAAGTCTAAAAGAGAAACATTTTCAGAAAAGTATTCATCAGATCTCCTATAGGAGACAAGAAAGACAGCAAAACTATCACCAGAAGACAATAGAGAAGGACAGCAAGAAATTATTGTAGAAAACTTACGCCTAGAATGAAAGCAGAGTACTTAAGGGGTTATAAGGAAAGGAGGTTCAGATTGTCAATAGATTTCTGATCATTGAAATTGCTGTGGAGAGTAGAAATCAGAGCACACAGAAAGGCAGTTTCAGGCAGAAGATGGGAGGTACCCTTAGATGAACCCTTAAAGAACACTTTGAGACACCATGGAAGCGAGTCACTGAACAGGTTGGGGGGGGAAGAGTAAGGTGCTACTGAGAATTAAAGCTCAAAGAGCATACGGTACAGTAAAAGATGAAAACAAATGAAAATAAAGGGGAATGTAAGAATCAATTTCAAAGGGAGCAGATCGATAAACACAGCTAATAGAATTACTACCCTGATTTAATTAACAAAAGAACTTTGACAGTCTTAGCTTCCTTGGTTAACCAGCATAATTAAACTCTCACTGAAGACTGCCAGGCTAAGTTAAAAAACCTGTTATTGAAAGTTCAAGACAATCCTTTAACTGTTGGAATAGCTAAACTATTCCTTCCATAGAGCTAAGAATATCAAAATCTTTAAAACTTTCTCCTTCATCTAGAAAAAGCCACAATGGTTTCTAATACATACAGAGAAGGAGGAGTTAAAACTAACACATGAACTAAAATGTGTAAAGACAAATAGAAAAAGGTAGCCTGTTCCTATGGCTCCTAGTTCTATAGCTTTTGGCTTCCAGCTGATGATGTGAAAGTCTGTTCTCATGACAGGACTAAGTCTCTAGACCACAAAGGCTGTTGGGAGAAATGGGAAGAGAAGTCAGCAGCCAAAACTCTCCTCTAACTTTTCAGGTTCTTAAGGTTACTTCAGTATAAAGGATAAGCACCTGAACTATTTTTAGAAGCTTAAAAAAAAAAGTTGTGTTTTTTTGTTGGTTTTGTTTGTTTTTAATGTCTCCTGAAACTAATGATTCTGGGAAGTGTAGAGACTGGTAAGACCCTGGAGTCAGTGCTGCAATGGAAAATTCCTTAGAACAATTCTTACCAAAGACTGGATTCCAGTTTTTGGGAAGCATCTGTTCCCAGAGTTACTTTTCCAACTAGACCAATAAAAATAATGTGAAAACTACAGATGGTGATGGGGTTTGTTTGGGGGCTTTTTTTGTCGCGGGTATTTTGGAGAGGTTTTTTTTCGTTGTTTTGGTTTTTTTTAAAATAGCTGTAATCATTGTACAAATGCCCATGTAGATTGAGTTAGCTAAGGATGATTTTTTAAAAATGAAGTACTATCTTTTAGACAAAAAATTTCTACTCTAAAAAAAGTCATTAGGCTATCTTTACTAATACTGTGCCAGAAATACAGTCAGGAGAAAAAACACATCATATAAATGGTGTAGCACTTAGTATGATTTAAATTTAAAGTTTGCTAGATTCCACATTGTTTCAGAACTGAAATGTCAGATTAGTATGTTTAAACAATCAGCATTTTACTTCAGCCTGTTGGACAAGTGTTCTTTTTTATAGTAATATCTATACTCATTTGATAGATGATTGCAGGCCTAAAAAGAATTACATGAAGTCAAACTGATGAATAATCACTTAGGAGTCTGAAGTAGATTTGTCCAACAGAAACCTGGCTACAAGGGGAAAATGCAGTCAGCAGAAAATAGAGTTCTTTAAAGCAAAAGAATAATTCAAATAGGTATTCACAGGACAATGCTACAAATGCAAAATGCTACATAGAAAATATAAAGACAGTTACATGAACATATCAATGCATCTCTCCCAAACTGGAGACAAGGCCTTAAAAAAAATTCTGAAAGTTTACAAGTCCTTGATATTTACTTTATAACAGTAATTATATTTACAAAGACATGCTAAATAGCTACGGTCTACTTCAAATGCTAAGTATTTTTTGTAGTAATTTCCAGTTGATCCTCAATTTTCATTTCTCCTCGGGATGTATTTTCATTAAAGCTCTCTCCAGAGATTCTTATAAGAGAAGCATAATCTAGAGATAAAGTTATTCTTCACTGATGACTGCCTGAAAAGGCACCTAACCTTGAAATGTAACATATCAGCAATGACTGATATCACTATGACTGGTGTGAAATCACTGAGTCAAACATATTAGGAACATTAAGTACCATTAAGTACTGACAACAAAAAAGAGTAGGCATTGCTGAAAAATGAAGCCATGGGACCGAGTCATTAAGTTTTACATAACGAGAAGTTTTGTCTTGGAAAAAATAAATTTCAGCAGACCCACAAGTATCTCAGTAAAATGCACTAGGGTCCCAAAAAAATCTTCCAACAGTCTTACACCAGAGGATCTTAAAATAAAAATCCTGTTGTGAATTCATTATTAACTAAAACATAGGAGACAATGGGTGGAAATAAATGACTGGTTTTCACAATGAAGAGAATGAAGAGAACCTATTGATGGAATCAGATGGGAATCTGTAACACAACATATGAAAATACTAGACAATGAACTGAACAGTGTGTATAAAATTTACTGAGGTAGTTGGATCTACATTACAATGAGGAACTGCAGAAAAATGTCACGCTACTGAATTGTTACAATATGATGTGAAAGAAACTCAGAATAAGGCCAGATTTTCCCATCTGCATTAACTCTGCATATATAGTACTGGGCAACGTCTCATCTAAGATTATTCAAGTCAACATGCACGTTTTCCAGAATTGTCAGCTCAGTGCTCAGAAATAGCATAAAAGACAAACAGAATAAGAAATGAAAAAGTTATCATGAAGTATGTATACAACATGGTGCACACCTTAAATACCATGCAGAGTTTGGTCACCTTGGTTCCAATAGAATATAGAACAACCAAACAAGAACAATCAGAAGTATGCAATAATCAATTTGTGTGGAAGTTAATCAGGTGTTTCTTCAGCTTGGAAAGTAGAGGAGTGGAGAAGATATGGTATACATATTTATTAATCATAAATGAGTCAGAGATTATTTATTATTTTACGTAATGCAAGAACTATGAGATACCCAGTGAAATTATCAGACAAGTTTAAACCAAATAAGTGAAATTACTTTTTCCACACACACATTAAACTTGAATTTACTGATGCATATGCTATGGATGCTTATAAAGTACAAATAAATCCAAGAAAGAACTTGACAAATTCAAGGAATAAAGTTCCATTGAAAGCTATGACAAACATGATCAAGCAGATTTAAAAAATCTTTACATCACAAATTGCTGGAAGCCAAAACTGACCAGTAGGAGAATTTATCTGGGGCTATAGGGACCTTTGGCCTAAACATATCTTATGCTCTTATAATATGATTGTTTTCCTCACAAGTCAACGATCTTATTTACTTGACAACCCTTGATTGGTGCCTCCAAGACATGGAATCTACATTAAGATATTCTGGTAAGAAAATTCTGTTTTCGCCCACAGCATTCTAGTTGAGAGTCAACTTTAAGAGTCTCTGTTTCTGTGGTTTTGGTTTTTTGGTTTTACTTTTACCAAATTACATTAGAAGCAGATATTCCTGAAAATAAAATATTAACACTTACCCGTTTGTCTAGCGTTCTTTCCCTTACAAAGCCAAGCAGCTGGTCATTGACTAAAGAAAGATCTCTCTTGCCCGCAGTAATAATTGTAACAATAACGTCATGTCGAATGGCTTCTTCTGGGTCATGTGATCTAACCTTCAAATATTCTGTTACAATCAGAAACAATGAAAAGCTTGGGGTTTTTATGCACATATGACGTATTCTGATTTGTTAATAATGTTGAAACAATTAAATGTCAGTCACACATAATCAACCATATAATCTATTAAACATAACTGCCTACAGGAAACATCTGTCCCATCATTTTCTATAGTAAATATAAAGCAAATACATAACTATAAATATCAGAAGAGTATAAAAGTGAATAGCTTTTACAAAAACCTCATTTGCAACAAGCAATGAAGTGAAATAAAGCTGATTAGAACATACTGAAAATAAAGAAGGTGTGGGGGGGATGAGATAAGAAATACAAAGAGCAGACACTCTCATTCCCAAAGAACTAAGAAGGTACATAATAAATGAAAAATACTGTCAAATGCTGAGGTTAGCTTGCATCAAAAAAGAACAGTATTTTCAGTTAAGCCTGAAATTCTGCTCATAGTTAAAATGATGCTGAAGTGAAAGAAGAAAATGCACAGATTTAGATTTAAATCAGCACCGTGGCATTTTCTAAACTCAGTGGAAGAGAGTACTGGGGAACACATTTTGAAACTAAATCCCCCAGACTGAAAATAAATCAAGATGTTGCATCAATATTTGCTTTGACTTGCCAAGTTTCATTAGAATCTGAAATTACTTTAAAACTCATTCTGCAATGGGTAGCTTCTTAAAAGACTCACTCTGACAAAGTCCACACAAAGTCACACATTCCTCTCTTTCTAATAACTAGCACTTGTTTTCAGCAGAACACAATTACTCAGAAGTGAGCTCCTCCATCCAGCATCAAGCATTGGACTTGATAAGTTTTAGAGCTATACTGCTATGTACAGAAATAATTACATTCTTCCTTGCTTTTTTCTTAAATTATTCTAAACCTCAGAATGAGCATCTCACCAGTGAGGTCTTTTGCTAAGTCTGGATGGTTCATTAAACAATGACTGGCGAATTTCACACTCTCTAATCTCACAGGGACATGGATATCATTGAACCTAGAGGGATAGAAGATGATGAATGTTAATTTTTAATTAGCCTTGCAAATCAAGATTATTCTCTACGTAGTAACATGTGTTGATAGTATGTTCCATTAACTATTAGAATACTTTTGTATGGCAAAATAATACAATAGAAATGTCTTGAATTTCTCTCCATAATGTACCTCATACAGATTTTTTATGTTATTTCTTGTGAAATTAAGTCAGGACTAAAATTAAAGGATGAATAGACTATATGTGGATGAAATGCTGACCCAATGAATTTTGCTTATTGATTTTTGAACTTAATTGTCCATACACTGTCAATCATGTGTGTCTGTCTACACACATATATGAAATTATAAAAATATAAATTGCCATACAACATGTAGCGTTTGAAAACATTCACCTTTTAAACAATGATAAATTTCTATATTTACTTAAAAGGAAGTATTTCTTCACTCAAAAAGGTAAATGCCAATAAAACAGATATAGTTGCAGATACAGCTTAGCAGTATGAAATTTCCATCAATGCTGGTATATCTATAGTGTAATTTCTGCTATGTATGCAATGTGCTATCTATCTAACCTATATATATTCCCATAGCTGACAGCAATATAGCAGCAGTCCTTCAGGCTTCTTCGTTCTGAAATATAACTGTATGCAGTTGTCTGCTTCAAAGATTTAACGAAAGAACTTGCTCAAATACAAACAGTTATGTCCTTTGAAAACACAATGAAAACTGCAATACTATCAGAAAAAAACAGAACAAAAAGATCAGAAATTCAGATTCTATCCCAGTTTCCCTTACCGCCCAAGAAAGCACTGCCAGAGAGGACGATTTTGTGTGGCCAGATCAGAATCTTTGGAGCCAAAGAGTTTAGCCAGAAGTCGAACAACAGCCAAACGTTCTTCTCCATCATTGCTCTAAAAATCAAAACATGAAAAACAAACTGTAAATCATTATCTGTAGTATGAAAATAATAATTTCTGGGTTCATTTTCCTTCCGCTTTTACAAATTAGATTAAAAACTGAGTTTGAAATAACTTCTAATAATCCTCAGTCTCCCTAATTAGATGAATACGAGTAAAAATATATAAATACCTATTAAGGTAACACATTACAGCCACTGACCAGATGGCTGTGCTTTGAAAATTCTTTCTCTTTCAGGAATAAACCCCACCCCTCAGTACTTTGAATAACATATATCCCTATCAATTTCAACAGTGAATTATCTTTTTTTTTTTGTTTTAAAACATACTTTAAAACTATTTTATTTGTATGGAAAAGACACCACTTAAGATGCTATAAAACAGATGTGCCTTAAAAAAGATGTATGCAATTTTACCAAATATCTATTCCATGGTTATTTTTGTTTATTGCCACCGTACCCTACTATGTATATGCACACAATTATTTCTCTTGTCCATTTACAGTCTTATGAAAGACAAATAGCTTTTTAATTAAAAAAACCCAAACCCCCAAATCAGGATGAATTATTTCCAAGGATTCAAAAGCAGTCAGCTGACTTATTAGCTGATTATGACAAATCTCAGAAAATATTTGGAAATATTTCCTCCTTTATTAAAACATTATTTCACAGGAGAAAATTCTGCAAATCAATACTGAATCTGACATACTTGCATTTCATAAGACAAGCCAACCACAACCTAATTACTTCATAAATTTCAGGCCAAATCCAAAGATTACGTACATATAACTTTTGCATTAGATGATATGAATTTATCATTATACAGATTATATATTTTGTGTGCACAATACACGTTTGCCCGCACAGAAAGCAGACAACTGTGTATAACTTTCCAGTGTCCCTCCTTTAATATTACATTTCTCTTTAAAATAAAGTGATAAATATTAAATTTTAATCCCTCCAGTAGAACACTTATTAAATTTACAGCTCTACACTCTTAACATCCATACAACTTTTATTACTTTGTCCAAAGCTACATTGTCACCTACCTTCAGCTTGAATTCAAGCTGTGGCATGACAGACAGCAGTAAGTGAGGATCTATGGCAAAAAGCTCTTGTATCAAGTCAAACACATGTTCTGATAAGTCACTTACTGAAGACTTTCCCAGTACCAGAACCTGGTTAAAAAACTAGAATACAAACGATATTAGTTAGCAGATTTTCCTTCATTAATGCAAACATTATTTAAAAAAAAAAAAATAACATAGGATCATTAATACATTAATTCTAATGGAAGGCACTCAACACTTTTGGTTTTATTATTACATCAAAGCATTTCACCCTTACAGTTTTGGCTCAAGCAATTTACAAACAAACATCCTTCATAATTCAGTTCTACTACTTGATTGGATTAATTAATTCACGGTAATTTGATAATTCAAAATATCAGTAACCATCTTGCCAGCAAAATTAACAGATAATAAGAGAATTGATAATTTAAAATGTATATTCATCCAGAAAAAAAAATATAGTATCTTATTTTTAATTTTCTTACCATTTAAAACCAACCCAAATTAAAGATCACCAAATGCTGAAAACGAAGTATCCCTACTTTTAATCCATTTTAAAGAATGTCAAATGACTTTACGATGGGTCTTGTGATATCTGACAGTAACGTATCAAGGTTGTTAGCGATCTAACAGAAAAAAATAAAGTAGCCTAAAATATGAATTCTTTTGGATATGTTAAATTTTAATATGCTTGATATACTTCCTATTAGATACTGTGGGTTAATATTATTTAAGCAGTGAAAATGCTACAAAGCTATTACAAACTTGAATAAGAAAGTAAGAGTAATAATATTAAATCAACTCAAAAGTCACTCTATGCACTAACCTGTTTCCAGCTATGACTAATTACAAAAGCTTAGAGAAACTGGGGAATTGGAAAGCGGTACTTGTTAGTGAGACTCCTTGAGCTTTCAAATACTGATTAATCTTTTATGAATTTGCCTTAATTCCCTTTTTAAACTACTCTGGCTTTTATCAATTCCATGGGCTTCAGCACCATGAAAAGGCAACAGAATGTATCAGTCTATATCCCCCACAAGACTGTAGCAGCTATTTTAATAGGTAGAACATACAACATTAACATTCAACAGCGGGAATTACAGTAGAAGGAAGTCTTGTAAAAAAATAAATTATTTTAGTCTTTATGACTAAAACATGTTTAGGATGGGGAAAAAATATCTAGTAAAGAGCTGGTAGCTTGAAATGCTTCGTCCTAGAGCTCGGTATGAAACAAAGCTCCCTGGTTGCTGGACTAACAACTCCTTTTGTTGCAACAGGATTTTTTGTTGGTCACCTATTTTCACAGTCTAGATTTAGCCTTAACTTTAGACTGAGATGGGTAAAAATTAATTTCCTCTTCCCTTATTTGAAATATTTGACATACTTCTTTAACAACCAAGCTAATAATATCCTGTTTGGAAAATGGTATTCCCTTAGCTGCATTACAAAATGTGACTTTTATAAACAAACAAACAAATCTCCAATAAATCAAGAGAGGAACAAGAACACTTATTACTTGTAGATAACATGGATTAATTAATTTACATACATTGGCAATACACGGTTCAATGGTCTGGACGGTCCTTTTCAACAGGACTTTTGCAAGATCAAATGCTTGTTTATTAAGGTTCTGAAATAAAGAAATAATAATAATAAAATTTTAAAGAGACAAACTATTTCAGATTATTTTACTTTTCTTTCCTAGCCTTAAAAGAACATGACTTTAGAAAGGTATATTTTACCACCAATCTATTTGCTCTCAAAGCTATCTAAATTCAATTACATTAATTCCACAACTACAGACTTAGACAAATCTTAAAACTAGAAATCTACCCCAAACTCATCATTTCCTGCACGTTCTTCTAAGACTTTGTCAGTCCAGTTGTTACCTTTAGCATTGCGTTCATATCTATAAAAAGTTTTCACATACAAGCACATTACAAATTTTGAAGAAACATTACCGCACCTTCATACTTTGATAATTTGCATGCACCAAATTTTGCCCTTGAAAAATGAACCAGTCTAACTTGGTATTCAAATGGGGTTTTGTTTTCCCCCCTCACATACTCCTTAAAGGTCCACCCTGTAGCAAAGTTCAGCCTTGTCTAGAGGGTAGAACCATGCACTGGCTTCTCCCTGGACTGCACTGAATGCTCTGAGACAGCCCACAGAGAGCACTGGTGCTTGGGCAGAGTTTGCTGCAAACTTTCCAAGCAAAGGTTTGATTGCCAACACGACAAATCTGAACGTTGTTTTTATTACTCTCACACAAGATAAGGAATGTAGCTGCACATCTGAAAAATGTGACTGTCTAAATCTGCACAAAATCCAATATGCAGTATCTCGTCTCATCTAGGGATTAATGCAGCTCGGAGGGTAGGAAAAAAAAAGGAGAAAGAAAAAAAAAAGTAAGGTGGATTAGTCGATTGGCCTGAAAATTACAAATGACTGCAGACAAAATACATCCTTGGGTAAAGTCTAGGGATGACTGATTCTTGGAAAGACAGTATTTGGCAAGTCTACATTGAGAATGACTCCCTGGTGTTCTTTTAGCTGATGAGATGACAAACTGAAAGACAGTTCATCAGCTGAGAAATAAATGGCCAAAGGCTCTTACAAGCATCTCCTCAGTCACCACAGCAGTAAACTGATGCCTCATTACAGAAGACAGACAGATACGTTATGAACTCTACTCAAATTCAAAACAAAACAGTGTGTCTCCAAAACAGACCATGATTAAAATCTTGGTGGCACGTATTCCTGTATTAAACTAAAGGACTACTAATCTCATACAGAAAACATACTTTACTTGGGTCTTCAATACAGCTTCAAAGATGCCTTGCAATGAAGTTGCGTTGGGTTTTTTTTCCCCCTAGACAAGGTCTTAAGAGCTAAAAAAACCCAAAACCAACAGCAAGCCCCCCCCCCAAACCAAACAAAAAACCTCAAAGAACCTAGAAAAGAAATATATATTGATAAAATAAACTATCAATATATATAGATAAAATAATAATTTATTATTGATAAACAAACAAACAAACAATCAGTCTGTTAGGACGAGAAAAAAAAACCTTGAAGGTCTGGAATGACCATGCTGTAAAGGATGCAGAAGAAAACACCGATGTTAAATACATGATTTTAAGGAATAACCTTGATAGTAAGAGTAAGAAGAAAAATATTGACTAAATAGCAGTGGTTTTAAAGTTAATAAGAACTACAGTTTGATGCTGTAGGTGGTCTAAGTAAAATGTGACATACCTTACTGCTAATGAAAACCTGGATTTACTAGAGGAGAGCCACATTTGCACACACATAGAGAACAATGTACAGTAAGGTCACTTTACTGATAATGGAGATACAAATTAATATCATTTAGATGCTGAGGTAGACTCTACTTCATTACTAGCTACTGGTATATTTCTCCTTTTTTTATTGCAGTATTGTCTTACACAATGTAAAAGAGTTTACAGAAACAAAACAAACTAAACAAAAACCCCCAAAAGGAATCGAACATATTATCCAAAACACATATTTCAGCACCCTTACGAAGACTACCTTTCATTAAGTGTAAGGCTACCCACACTGATACTTTTATTATGTCATAGCGGAGAATGACTTAGTATTCAATTACTTTGCACAGACGTAAAAGTATTGTTATTAGATGTTCTCTTAAAAAAAAACCCAAATAAACCATGCTTTTCAAGCTATGCTGCTTCTGATTTACATACCTAAGGATAAACAATTAATACAATTACAGAATTTCCTAGGAGATCTGTTCACGAAAGGAGAACATAACTATTGCAGTCAAACTCTGCTAGGGAGAGCAGACAGAAGAACTTTGTCTTGTTTGATTGTTTTTTTTGCTTTTAACTATTATGGTAAAGCACTAGTTTAAGTTCTGTTGTTACAGGAAGCAAACACAGACCAAAATACTGAGTGAGCACTGACTGCAGCATATTATTTGCTCAGTCATGATGGCCAAGAGCCAGCAAGGACTGGCCACCAGCCTAGAGGCCAACATACTAAATATCCAGCAAAACCCAGTATTTACACCAGGTTTACCTCCCTCTTTATCAGAGCCTTGCTTAAAAATTTATCTCATTAAGCACAATTATATGATTAAGCTAACAATGTTAATGCTAAAGGATCATCTTCACCCCCACTTTGTTTACACCAAGTAGCCACAACACACTGCTCAGTTGTACAAGGTTTACCAGGTCTTTACCCTCAGAGCAATGCCCACCACCATTAACAGCATCACCCAGCACCTGATGCACGTATCTCCACTCCTCTATTTCCACTCCTGATCTCTACTGCCTGTAACTGATTAGAAACAACACACAAAGAACAGCATATTTCAAAACGACTCTTTTTTCTATTGTTATGAGAAAGAGGCCTCCCTTCTTGTTAGCAATTTTAATAAGACATCATCTCATTGCAGTCAATAAAAATGCATTGATAGAATGATATTCCCATCTCATGGTCACAACAGAAGGAATGCAAACTGATGATTTCACAGGTAAACGACACTGGCCACAGCTTAGTCACCCCTGTGCTATACACTTCCATGAATTCTCCCTCCCTAGGTAACCAAAGGAATAATCCCTAGTTCTATGCGCTAATTTAATTTTAATTATGTAGTCATGGATGGAGCTGCCTCAATATTGTCATTATTTTAAATTAATAAATGAACAAACAGAAACACATACTTGGTAATCAGAGTACAGTTCATTTACTCATAATTAAAACTTAGGGTTCTCCATCCAATTTTCAGCATGAAGCACAAGTGTTTTGGCAAATGAGTTTTCTTGGTTAACACAAGGCAACACCAGGCTGCTTCTCACTTTCCCTGGTTTCACAGCTAACAGAGCTGTGTTTATTCTCCTTTTAACTTTTTTTAGCCATTATGGCAAAGGTACTCCAAATAGACCCAGTGACCAGATATTAAGTAACACAATGAAACCAGAAGGAGAGCAACAGAGACAGTTTGTGAAGCTGATCGTAAAAAGGGTGTCTCTGAAAAACCTGCCAAAGTAGCTGTGTAGATGGGGCTCACGTAAGACTCCTCTAAGAAAAAAGGGGGTCACTTACAGTGAGTTAAAGGGATGCTGAACTTTGCAAAGGGCAGAAAGATTATGGAGCTCTTAAAAGAATATGGAGCAATAAAAGCAAACAGCTAACTGAAAAAAAAAGTACTACACTTCAGGTAATAATTAAGTTTTATTAAAAGTTTAAGGAGGAAGGACACTGGGCAGGGGGGAACAGAACAACTAGGGAGGTGGAGGGGAGTCTGACTGGCAAGCTGAGGCAAGCAGCAAGTCACCACAGAAGTCTTGGAGAAGCTGGTTTTTTTCCCTTTTCCTTTTTTTTTTAATAAAAAAAATACCTCACTTCTTTTAAGTTAGAAAAACAACTGACCCCTAAACAACCAACAACTGTTAAGAGGTAACGTTTTCCCATTACGAATTATATTTGCTTGAAAATATTTTATTTCTCTTTCAGTACAGAGTTCCTGAGGTGGCGAGCAGGCAGAATCTCTTGATACTGAATAATCTAGACAAAGCTAATGAACAGCACCAAATAATTCCCAAAGGAAATTTTCAATCCACTGTTACAACACTGGGGGAAAAAAAACCAACAAAGGCAGTTGTGGCAGCTAAAGCACTTGGAGAGATAAACAACAAGCAAAAAGCAATAAAAATCATTGTTGTAACGGTATACTACTGTAATATTTTACTTTGCAGACCTTGTGTGCAGGAATGAGGTTAATCAAAATGGAGTCCAGCAGCTCCTGAGTTACTCCATCGCCTTCCATGATGATAGAACTCATCAAATCCAGCATATGCATTTGTACCTTCTGGTTGTGGCTATTACTGAGATGATAAAGAAAATTATCAATACCACATTTTCAGACCCTGACAAATATTAACAGTACCGTTAAGAAACAGTGCCTTATGCTGTCTAGCTTGCCCTCCCTTACACTCTCCAAATCTCAAAACTATTCTATGTGCCTTTCCTCTCTTACAGAAATCTTCAAAACCCTTGAACACCCTAGTTTTACTTTAAGAAGTGAAACAAAACAAAAAAGAAGAAAATAACAACCACTGAAATACAAATGTAGACAAATGAGTCAGAATGGAGTATACTCTTGTAACATGGACGAGAAGTTTTAAAACACATCTATTTTAAGACACACACCCTCCATGTTGTTGGTAATTCGCGCTCATTTGCTTTCCCCCTGTACCTCCTCGTTTGGAGAAATAGTTCTATTCAGACACATACTTATTCGCACAAGGATTCCGTCTACCCCCAAAACTGATGATATTTTGACAGATTAATATAATTGAAGCAATTCAACTTACTTGATAACTGAAAAAAGAGTCCTAAAAAGCTGAATAAAAATTTCATTGCAATCTTCCAACTCAAAGCAGATGTTGTAAGATTTAACCCAAGCTAAATTCTAGAACAAAAATAGGATATTCAGGATATTACAACTTCACATTAAGACATAAATATAATGATGTTAGTTACATTTTTTCTATTTATACATTATACATTCTATTTAAACATTATACAATAGATTGTAAACCCTTTGGGGAAAGAGACTGCATATTTGTTTTGTGTATAAAGAGCTCTTGACACAAAGGGGCTTTGCAATATCCAGAAAGAAAACTAAATATAGAATAATGTGATTTCTTATTAATAAAAGCAGATTGATAGAAATTATTAATATAAGTCCTTGTTATAGACTTTTTTCTTCATGCTATGAAATAATACCGTTTTAAACATCAATAAAAGGTTTACAAACAAGATACTCTTTCTAAATGCACATTGATAAAACGCCCACATTTCTTTTTTTAAACAAAAATCTTATATTCCTTCTCCCATCATCAATATAAGCAGATTTGCATTTTAATCAGCATTTGAAGTTCTCTCTTGATGACATAATATATCCTTAAGGGTGCATGATACGAAAACCAATGTATAGAATTGTAAGACAAAGGCTAAATGTTAATAAATACCAATCATTTTAACATGTCCTCAACTATAGGCTGCATGAACTTATTAAACGCAAATAGAATTGTAACTGCTAGAAGAAGCAATTTACTGAACTTTAATGAGTTTGGTGCAATTTACAGAATAAAAGAAGTTTCCCAGGCACACTGGCACATCTGGAGAAAGATCGATTACATTTCTTAGGCTTACAGAGCAAATACTGTCTACTGAAAGTTACAATTATTTTGTTACCTCTAACAAGTAAAAGTATCTGTTAAATTGAGGGCTCTTCGTGTCCTCCAAGCCTTTTAATTGTCTTGTAATAAACAAGAATATGTCCTGTCAAAAAAAAAAACCAACGATAAAGTGGTTACAAGCTTGATTCAGCAGAGAATAAAAATACAACCCTTTAGTAGTGAGATCTACCCACATTTACAAATTCATGATATAAGAATATTAAATTGTCTTTTTAGGCACTGACAGCTATCACCAACTTTAGGCACTGAGCTATCACCAACAGAGATACTGGTTATCTAGTGTTCCTTTACACATCCCTGGGCCTTAAAGTACTACAGTGATTCACAGAACTAAAGCTACATCTCTTTACTAAAAATTGAACATCAGCATAAATGGGAGTAAAAAATTTTTTTCAGGTTTTTTTTTGTTTGGTTGGTTTTGGGTGGTGGGTTTTTTGCGGGGGGATGGCAGGGGAGTGGTGGCAGGATGTTTTTTCCCCTCAGTAAAAGAATGAGGTAGGAAGAAAGTCATCATTTTATAATGCGTTTTTACCTTAAGTTTGTCATGGGAAGTATATGGAGCTTCAGGAGCATAGATACGAAAGATATCAGCCAAGCAACATGCTACGAGGAGGCGCACATCTTTATTGGGATTCCTGAGGAAGAATTCAGATGCAAGGTGCAAGGCTAATGGGAGATACTGCTGCTTCTCATCTTCTGAGTCCTGGTCCATATCCATGAAGGTTTTTACCACCATCTGAAAACATGGGAAAAATAAAACATTTGAGTGCTTTCTGCTTTTATTCCAAATTACTAAACAATACTTTCTAAAAGGATGCAATGCCATCAATATGCATTCTACCGCATAATCACTCTACTGAAATTTTTTTGCTAGGACAAACATCAGAAAAGGTGTTAACCTAGTGCTTAAAGGCTTATTGAACTCTTTTTTTTTTTTTTTTTTAAATTAAGATACTGAAAAATGACCTTATAAATTAAAATAAATGTTTGATAGCAACCTTTTCTACAGTATGTTACTTGAAACTCCTCCTCAATTTCTCCAAATGTACAACTACATTCCTTCATGAAGCAACTTAGAACAAAACCAAAAATCAAGAAAGTACCAGAGAGAAAAACAAACAGACAACAGAATAAAAGAGAACTTTAAATCCACAGCCCATAAAAATCCAAATTCTATCTGAATTAGCTTGTTTCCCTAAAAGTATTCTTGAACTATATTTTGAAGCATTAGCTAAAAGGACAAAACCATCCTCCTACTGACAGTACAGGTCTGCCTGTCAGTGTCACACATCACACATCACCAGATTCCAGATAATGGAATTAAAAAGAATAGATAACACAGCCTTCAAAACCTACCAGATTCTATCAATAAGGAAGGCTTAAAAAATAAACAAACAAACAAAATAACCAAACACAAAACAAAACACACCACCAAACCAAAACTTACATGATGTAAAACCAAAAAAACCACACCACACTCTCTGCTGGTGGCAGGACAAAGAATAATGGCCTGGACTTGCAGCATGGGATTCAGATAACTGTTACTGAAGGCTTTAAGGACAGGTGGATCCTGTGGATCCTGCCCTGGAGACTGATGATACAACTGTATCTGTACCATACAAACTTGTTCCTTGAACTAAAGTTCCTTCCAGTCTTTCTACTAGTTGTAGAGATAACCTATACGAGCGATCTTTTGATCTTTCTTGTAAGCCCAATCTCCTTTCTCCCTATGTGTATTGTAAGCTTCATAACCAGAATACCCGCCCAGACTCAGATCTCTCTCTGGGTTCTCATACTCATACGACAATATGCATAATCTTGCACATATCCCTTCTTCAATACTTCAAAAACAGACAAGGAAAGGCAGCATGGTGCTGTGAAAACCCATACAACTTTGCCACTCAGTAACAAAATGTTGGCATATTCTGTTATTAAAGACTTTGGCACTGTCTTGCCTGTTTGAAAACACACCAGGCTGATGGATTTTCCTGTGTTGCTCTTGTATTCAGAAGGAACTGCCAGCAAATATCCATAAAACCTCATTCTATTTCCCTGTAAAGCACTCCTTGATATTTTTGTTCTATTACAAAACAACACTTGGGCAGTAATTGGGCCACTGGCAAGCTGCAACTGCTATTAAACCTACTGATCTGTTTTCTCTGTTGTTTCTTTATAGTCCCTTATTTGCTTGTATTTGTGTGTTGTCTTTTGCTTTATAATAGTGTTCAGTCCATGAGGTTCTCTTTATGGTACGCACAAAAAATGAAGAGAATAATATCTTGGTCTTTAACTAGGATCTCAGATACCAAAGCAATACAAATAATGAACAATACGTATGGGGTGCAGAAAATATATAGTATAATACAAATCATGAAATTAATACATAAATAAACTATGGAGGGCTATACCATGGTTAAAAGCATGATGTAAATGCTTGCTAGCAGCAGGACATATATAAGATTTGGGGAAAAGGGTGCAATCCATACAAAGTAAAATCCATAATTCTGTTGGACTGTCATCATAGTTTATACTATATAATTATATATATATAATTCTATACATTCCTTGAATATATGCAATTAACTATATCTAAAAATCCTACAGCCTGGGAGTAGTCCGTATAGCCAAGCAACTACTGGCACTGACTAAGGTATTACACAATAGAATTATTTCCAAATGCCTGCTAATCTACATAAGAGATTAATTGTTAAAATATAAGAAAAAAAAAAAAGTCCAGACATTAAACACAATATATTCTTGGCTTTTCACACGAGTTAGAAAGCCAAGAACTCACTCGAAATTTCGCCAGTTACAGGACTGATACTCTTGCCCTCTAGCACAACTGAAAAATTAGTTATCAAGCAACAACCAAGTCTTTAGAAGTACATGTTATTGTATGTTCAACCAAGCACTTATTCCTAACAGTACTTCATATCCTTGAGTACAATACACTGATCAAAAACTGTTCCATGATTTCTTGGGGTACTTCTTTCTCTCCTCAGCCATCCCTTGTCTTGTTTCCTCTAAGACAGGAACTACCTTCCCTTCCTCCCCTCATGTTTATACTGAGTCTAATGCAAAGTCTTGAGCTGGGACTACAGGTCACAAATACATCCATAACGCAAAGAAACGACTTCACAACATACTGCAACCTCTTCTCTGTGTTAAGGTCTGACAAAGAAAAGTTACTTCTAATCACCTGGGCTTGGTATTTCTTGGGACACATAGAATCAATAGAAATACTACCACGTAAAGTCAAGCATACTTATCTAGCCTTTCCCAAAAATCTTTAAGTTGTATTGTAGTCACAGTTTCCACTTTTCGTACATTTCCTATAACTCAATTACATTTCCTGTTATAAATTATGGGCTTTCTCAGAGGAAATGGGGGGGGGAAAGGGGAGGAAGGGGAGTAGTATGCAAGTTACATGATGTTTAATAAATATTGATAACACCTTATGAAGAAGTTATAACATCTTACAAAGAAATCCTCATAATTGGTTCAGAAAGACCTTCATAGTTAAAATTTTTTAGTCATACCACTGCAATACAGATATTAATTGTGACAGCTAGAAATTGATTTATTAAAAGAATCTGCTAATGAAACCAAAAACCTGAAATAAACTCTACATATAAATAATTTAAAGTTTTAATTATTTTTTTAAACCCAAGCTGGAAGCCACTCATCAAACTACTGATATACATAAATGCAACGGTGAGGGAGTATGACAAAGGAAATAAGTTCAAAAAAACTGAACCAGAGGAAAGAAAAAATACAATTGCAGAGAGGAGACGTGAATTCCTACTGCCAGACAGATTTTAGTACAAATATTTTTTCCAAGAATCTGCACATCGAGAAAATCTTTACTGAAGTTATTCATCACAAAATGTGTTAGTGCTCTATTAAAGCAAATTACATTCAAGATGTGATTTGATCCATCATAACTATCCCTTGTTCTAATTGCAAAAAAAAAAAAAAAAAGCCCAAAACAAACAAAACCCCCACTCCCATTCATCTTTGTATTGAAGTTTTCATTTTAGGTCTAAAGGGAGTCTCAATTTCCTAAAGTTTTGATTTAATCATTACATAAATATTTCTCTAGCAGAATGAAGCAGTTTTTTTAGAGTTAGGTATTAATTATCATCATAAACCAGTTTTTATTCCAGGAAGAAGTGATTACACCGTAACAGGAACTCACTACTTTTTCAAATTACAGTATTATTGTCTAACTGAAGTCTTGCTGTACAGTCGAAACAACCCTACCTAGAGCATTTATATAAAACCCTACAGACTTAGTAGCTTCCCCCCCCCCGAAAATTCTTACTGTCCCCTGTGCAAAAGGTAGGAGATGGAACAGTACTATGTAAACATATTAATGTAACATCATCCATTCTTTTTCCAAACAATTAAGCACACTCAATTTAAACACTAAACTAATTGCTAGCAAATGTAAACAAAATACAGCTATTCACATTTACGATTAATTTCATTCTGCATTCGTTTTGATTTAATGCACCTCCATGAACTTTTCACATACTGGTACTTTAGCTACTTTGCAAAACTAAAAGTGTTAAAACTACTCTAGAAATTTTCATTATTGCCATTTTTACCATAGTACCTTGAAATTCTAATTATTAAACCAAGATTTTACTCTCTCAGGCTCTGCAAACACGTAAGTGAAATGCTCTGATTATAGCACTGGAGAAATACAAGCGTCTTCATTCGAATTAGCGAGACCACCAGCTGAATTCAGACTGCTAAGTCACTCTCGGCACATTACGAACATATAGAAAATTAAGGAATTTAAAGCTTTCAGGGAGGCGTTCATCTGACTGCATAAAAACCGCACATTGTGCAAGCCAGTCACTCTGGGCTACCCTTCCACCTGTGGGAGAGGAACACACAGACCAGGACTGAACTGAAGCACAGACGTCTGTGACATCTACAGACCTCAGCTCAGTTTTGCCCTGTATTCTCTGCGCTGACCACGAAAGCAGCTCAGTGTGACTAGATGTCCAAAACGAGGCGAGATGAACTCTACCTGCAGCTTCTCCTGAGCCCGTCAGCCTTTCGATTGCACTGAAACACACATCAGAGGTTGCCAAAGTGTTGTTCACGCTCTGCCCACACCTCGTAGGCAGTTTGCATGTGGCCTGTTCTCAGAGACAGTAAATCAGCATGGGTGCTTGCCCTCAAGTGACTCAGCTGCATGTGGTTCTTGTGCAAGACCTATGCCTCAGGCAGGAATACTAAGTTCTGCTCTTCAGATCCCGGTTTGTGTTTATTGACCATGTGGATTTAGGTGCATGGTTTGTTGGCTCAGAAAGCTCAGCTACTGTGGAAACATACTGATGATTCCAATGTGATAGGGAGGAGAGGTATATAAATACAAAGAGAGGACGGGGTAATTGGTGTAAAGACTCAAAACAGCGTTTGCAGAGAGGAAGAAGCAGGCAGATCTAGGAAAGCCTTGCTGCAATTGGCAGGGCAAGCACAAACCTCCACGCTAGTCACAGCATGGGGAAGGTGGGTGCAGGTGGCATCTGTTCTTACAGCAGCTTATTCATAGTATTCCAAAGAACTAACATTGAACCATCCGCAGCTTGAAAAAAAGACCAGGGAAAGATACTCAGTGTCTAAAAATTCACCTTGCAATCAGAAAAAGAAGAAATTTAACAATTGAGAGAATGCGATACCATCTACTGTCAGAGGAATAACATCAGAAGTTAACTTCAG